AAGGAATGTATGATCAACTTAATAGGAAGGAAGCACTACCAAGGTCTACTACCAAGGAAGGGAGTGTGATTTTTCTGACAGGTCAAAGGTTGGCCCTTTTTCCACAAAGTGAACTAGAAAAGAAAGTACAAATTTACCATGGACTGTCTTTTGAATTGGACTCCTATAACCCTTATTACTCAGGAGGCTGAGATCTGAGGACCAAGTTTCAAACAAACAAATACAAAAAGTCTTATGAACCTGTTCAAAACTGAAGAATTCAGTAGACATATTAGGAAATTTGGGTAGTATAAATTAAAGAGATTATTTTAGTCTAAAAAAGGATTTAAGAAGAGTTGTTTCTACTCAGCTCCTCAGTCCTAAAGAAATCCTTAGTGTGGGAAGTGAGGGAGGCCTCATTGCATACCAAGGGCATTTTCATAGTTCGTGCAGACCAGGAAACTCCATGCTACAAGAGGACTAGGTGTGAGCCAAAGATAAAATGCTTGAAAATTAATTTCATCCCACATGTCTCTCTCCCCCAAAACAAACAAACACCTAAACCAAAACTCAAGATTACAAAAAGATGGAATTTATCTCTTATCTTTTATTTTTGTTGTTATTGTCATGCATATTATATTTGTATATATTATACAATCTACATTACAGTGTCATATTTTTTGCCTTTAACATTCAGATGCTTTTTATATAAATTATGGAAAGAGAAATAAAAAAAGCAAAAGATAAGATTTAAAAGCTGACATAAAGTCCTAATAGACTCTATACATTTCATAATCTGATAGAGAATTTTGCCTCAAATAGTTTGAAGCCTTCCACAACAGCATAAATAAATCACTTTTACAAGCTTTTATTAGTTGTCTTCTATGGTGTGTGTGAGTGTTCATGAGCATGTGTATTTGGGATTGTGTGTATGTGTATGTGTGTGTGCTTGTGTGCACGTGCACATGTGTGTGCCAGTCCTGAGACTTGAATTTAGGGCCTGGGCACTGTACTGGACCTTTTTTCACTTGAGGATAGTTCTCTTCCACTTGATCACAGCTCTACTTCCAGCATTTTTGGTGCTTAATTGTAAATAAGAGACTCATGAGCTTTTCTGCCCGGACTGGCTTCAAACCATGACCAGATCTCAGTCGCCTGAGTAGCTAGGATTACACTAATGAGCTACCAGCACGTAGCTGGATTTTTTTTTTAAACTAAAGGGTGTATTCAATATAAATATGTAAAAAGTGAACTATGTAACTTGTGGGCAGGGACAGGAGGGGAAAACTGGGGGAAAGCAAAAGAACAAGTAACATTGTCCACAAAGAACCATACTCATTACTTGAGTTATGGAATGGGTAGCACCTCTGTACAACAATTCAATAACAACAAAATTATATTTAAAAAACTAGAGGGAATGGCAAAATAAACTAGAAGTGAATGAATTACTGCAGCCAGTCACATGTAATACAGAGCAGGTGTACGTTTATGATGAAGACTGTTGGTTAACTCATCACTCTGGTGCCTATATCAGTCTCCATGGGATGTATCTTTTCCACTCACCGATCACAACCTGGGCATGAACTACAAGATGCCTAGGGTTAAGTGTACATACAGAGACTGCAAAACAGACTCATACTCACTAGCCAAAACAGAATAGTCACTTAATGAGAAAAGAGAAGAGTCTAAATAATACCCCTCAAGCCTGGCTTCAGATTGTAATCACCCAAGGAGTTAAGCAAACAACAATAAACATTCGTCTAGGCTCAGCCCTAGAGATTCAGATTTCATTGATATGGAATACAAAGAATATCAATATTTTCAAAGTTCATGACACAATTCTAATGCACAGCTCACATTGAGAACTGCTCTTCTAGTAGATGAAGGATATCTGTTAGTAAACTGATATGAGTACAGTTTTCAAAATTAGCCAGTTGAGCTTATTGTTAGCCTATTTGGCTTCAGAATCCTTCAAGACTTTACCACAAGAACTTAGGGCACATATTTGCCTTTTCAGCCTTACCAGGTTCTTGGTCAAGCAATTTTTAGACACTGAGATTGTACTGTGCCCTTGGTCACTAGGTTGTCAACCTAATCCCAACTCATTATGCCCTCTGGTTATGTATTTTCCTAACCTGCCTTGCTCCTTGTGACCAAGGCTTAACTGTCTTTAACCTAGTTCTTCTGGGAACCCTGCCTGGCATCTGGATTCTCTTTCCATCACTTGATCCTCACACTCACTACTCTATTTCTCTAGTAAGAACACCTGTTACCTGTGTCACCAGCCTGCTGACCTCCAGATCACCTGCATACCTTGGTCAAGTCTCTTTCTTGTCTCACACTTATCCAGGCTCAACTGGCCTCCATATCCATCGTAGGCCTGATGCAAACATAGATGTGGCTTAAAAATACCAAAAATCCAGGAAAGAATGTCTTTTTTACATACCAGCAAATGTATGTTAAATATGTCTCAGCTTATTCTATTTGTAGCTCTATTCATGTAAAGGATTACTTGAGAAAGCATGACAGACTGTTATCTGTATCCTTTGTTATCTGGATCCTCATTACTAAAGACAGTTAGACTTTGTAGCAGTGGCTGCTGTGTATTTGCTGATTTCAAAGAAAACCAATGATCCTGCCAACCTCAGTGGGTTAACTTTCAATTGAATTCAGTTACACTTGACACATCTTGTTAGAATCTGTGGTATTCTGTTACATGATAAACTTTATTTTCTCCCTGAAATTTTATCAATGTGCTCCAAAGAAGGTGCTTTTTTGAAAAAGTGGTCTAAGTTTCATTCCCCAAATCTTGAAATAAAGAGCATGCCTCTCCCAGCTCAACTTGTTATTTGATTCTAACATACAATTAGTGAGTAAAAATAATATATTGATATTATATAAGATTAAGAAATATGGGCAATTTTATGGGCTGGGAAGGTGGCTCAGTGGTAGAGTGCTTGCCTTGCATGCATGAGGCCCTGGGTTCGACTCCTCAGCACCACATAACCAAAAAAAAAAAAAAAAAAAAGAAATATGGGCAATTTTAGATTAAATGGTTTTTGTTTTCAGTTTTTACTCAAACTTGCAGCCTTGATGCCTAGTTTATAGACTATTTGGCTATGGAGACTGTTCATGAACACCTGTTCTAGCTCTCATGATGTTGTAAGCCCTGGCGTTTCCTATAGATGGTAAAGCCAGTGTGTGGGATTGATGCCACATCATTCCCAGCATGCACTCAGCACATGGCATGCAACCACACCTCACAAATACATGCAAGAATGAAGGTGCCTGCTGTCTAAAAGGCAAATCCAAATAGCACTGGAGTTATGGTGATATAGCATGGGAGGCATTTTGATTTTGTGTGCCTGGGATGGATCTCTGTGGGCCAGTTGTTGTTGGACTGGTTAAAACAGTGCTATATAGTGTGTCCGTGCGTGCAGCTGTTGCTTGAATTAAAGTCTAGGAATGGAAAGGTCACAAAAATGATTTTTGTGCCTTATTCCAGTGAAGAAAAAGTTCTTACTCAAAAGGACATTATTAATTATGAGATCCTTCTCAGATGGCCAAATTCCCCTGTGATTACTTTGTTAAGGTCAGACTTGGCTACTGATGAGAAAATATGAAATTAGTATTTCTTCAGTCAATTCAAGTTTACTCATAGCAATCTAAATGTTCTCATGAGGGCAGAAAATGTATGGGGTCTTCTCACATGTCCATTTGGTCCCTTTAATATCCAACCAGTTAACAAAGGAAGGGTCTGATTTCTATCACAGCATATGTCCTGATGTTCCTGATGCCTTCGTGTGTTACCTTATTTAAAGGCAGACAGTTCCTCCCAGATTAGGAGCTTCCTATGTTTATATTTCACTCATCAGAAAAATAAATGAGATCATGGTATTTATTTTAGTTCTTGATTTCAGTTCTGAAAATAGGGACAGATTAAGGTAAAATTCCTTAGACTAGAATAAAGGTAAATTTTTAAATAACCGGTAGTTTCTAGTGCTTTCTTTGATGTAACTTCAATGAACTAAAATGTGTCACTTTAAAAATGATACAGGTTGAATGATTGAAAGTTTTTTATTACGTACTGATATGAAACTCTATAGACAAAGAACACTGCAAACTTTGTTCTTATGATAAAGAGGCACTGTCTTCTCCAGTCCCACCATAGTATCTTTTGAACCTAGCAAGTGAAGGCACTGTTAGTTATGGGTCAGTAAACTGTAGTTTGTAGGCTAAATCTGAAGTTGTACCTCTTTCTGTCTGGCCCAAAAGATAAGAATAGTTTCTATATTTTTAAATAGCTGAAAAAATATTTCTAGATACGGGAAAATTCCAACTCTATAATACGTGTAGTTCATGGTATTTATACATGTGTCATGCACATAATAAAGTATTTTATTGGAACACAGCCAGGCTTGTTGGCTTATGTCTTTTCTATAGTTGCTTTCATGTCATAACAAAGCTAAGTAGCTGTGAGAAGAACCATATGGCTGTAAAGTTAAAAATATTTACTACCTGGCCCTTTATAGGAAGTTGACTAATCGCTGGTTGAACTTAACGACCGTAATCACCTATATCTACATTTATTTAGGGACTGAACCTGCTAAATGAACTATTCCTGCAGCCCCTGGGATTGGAAAATATCTTCTAGGACTTACTGGCTAGGACATAATAAAAAATATTTCCCAGAATGTATCCTTAGATGAGTTGGTCCAGAAAGCATGTTTTGACCTGGAATTTCCCTGTTTGGGGGGAACAGAATCTGAACAGCTCCTGAACCATTTCTAGCCTGACTCATGCCTGTTCCCAGGTGCTTCACATGACACACTGATGCTTTTGAGAATCAAAGAAAGCACTGAAAGGTGGCCTAAATGTTACATCAGTATCTTACACAGATAAATCTTTTTCTTTTTGCTGCTGAGATTCAAATCCAGGTCCTGTACATGTTAGGCCAGTGCTCTACCACTGAGCTACCTCACCAGACTGAAAGGAGCCTTAACGAAAAATTAATCACCCACCTGGACGTGTTTCTGCCACAACAGGGCCAGCAAGATCAGAAGGCTTCCCAACACCTGCCTGGTTGATAGCTCGAACACGGAAAACATAGCTGATGCCCTCCTTGAGGCCTTCCACCTGGAAGAATTAGGTGTTGAAACAATTGAGAGTTGTATGTTACTCAAGCAGATGTGTTCTTCCTCTGCAATAGCAATTAGTCATATAGCACCAAGGATATAGAACTTTTGCTATGAGTAGATTCTCTCTGTGACTAATTGGGTGGCTTTAAGCAAACTATTATCTCTCTGGAGCAGTTGTCAGTAGAAGAAGAGGAATAGTCTATATACCTTAATGGCTTCCAACATCAGAAATAGAGTAGGCATTTTTAAAATAAATTAGCTACCTTATTCTTTGGTTTCTTTGGTCAAAAAGGCAAAAACAAAGTGTTCACTTTGCCCTTTTGATCTTTTTGAGATATTCTAAGAATAATTTCAGATAAAATTCTTGGCAAGAGAGAATTAAAACCATTCTAAGACACCCAAACAAAACAAACATTGTCCCTGTAATATGACTATATTTTCCTAGACAAGATATTAACATACTTGAGAATTTAAGTCATTTGGCAAATAATCAAAGTGTATTAAAACTCTACATCCTCAAGTTTTTAATCCTCAAGATATTTTCTGTTAGGCTAGGAGTATACCTCAAATTGTAAAGCACTTGCCTAGCAAGCAAAGCCCTGGGTTCAATAACTAGTACCACCAAAAATAAATTGTGAAGAACCTACTTCAATTTCATTTGTTGTCACAAACACACATATGAAAGGAATTTTGTTACACATACAGGGCATAATTCTTCTCCTAAGGCTGTGATGGAAATATATCCAAGATCTGAATTAAATCACACAGTGCTAGAATACTTCATTCAATTAACTAAAGCTTTTTATGAACAAGCATTCAAACCAACTATGCAGTAAGCTGTTAGGTTTTTAACCTATTTGGTTATATTGTGTTGGTGACAATGTATATTTCTGTAGTAATGCCTTTCACTACAACAAATAGATTTTTTTTAATGCATTTCCATCTGTAAGTGAACTTGAACTTAGCCACAAGCTAAATGCTTAAGATTTTATATATTTCAGATTTTGTTTAGAAATAATACCAGTGAAATGTTGATTTCAAAAAGGGAACAGAAATATTTCCTTGTTGTGATAAGAATGAACTGATTATCAGGTGACTGACACACCTACACCTACCACACAGGTGATGCGTGGCTGAGTCAGATTTCCATAACACAGGAAGAAAATCTGCATTCTAGTGCCTAGTCACCGGCATGACAGGCACACACTTCCTTTCTCCCATTGCCCAGAGGACAAAGGCCAATGGTCTCACCAGTGCCACAAATACACACAGTCTATGGATATCTACTCTGCTTACCTTGGATTGCTTTCCTTCCTACACTTTCAAAAGGAATTGCTTTCTTTTGCCTCTCAATCTATGGCTCCCACCCTTCCAATTACTCCCTTCTCATCACTTTGGCTCACCAGGCTATACTTGTCAATGTAAAAGGATTATGTGGGGTTGAATTCTTTCTTTGTGAATGCCGTGTGCAACTTTCTGAATGACTGCAGTGAAGTCACGCCTCACTTTATTGAGGTGATCTTTCCGCAATACTTTCTGAGGTCCTTCAGTGGACCTGGGACCTTCAGCTGCTCTGTCAACAACAGGGGACAACAATCTTTGGAGATTTCCCTATAGGCTTTAGTACAAGAGCCTTTGGGGTCAGAGGCAGGCACTGGTTCAGTTCTAGGGGAATCCAGAGGGCAGTGACATGGTTCCAGGTGAGGTTCAGGTCAAGAGTCCAGGAAACCCATCCCACTGATGCCGAGCACAGCAAGCATGAGGAAACATGTGAACTGCGACAGGGTATGTTAGGATTTAAAGGAAGCCACAGTTAAAGACATATGGATTCAACCTCTATAACAACAGCATCCTCAAGTAAAAGGCCACCTTCAGAAACAATTTGGGGTACAAATGGAAACAGGGTCATGTCTGAAGGACAGTAACAAGCAGGTACTTTTAAGACTATGAGGGAAACAAAGCAGGAAAGAAGGAAGGTGAAGGAGCTAGTGGATGTTTTCCAGACTTGAATAAGGAATTTAGGTGAAAAATCTCTGAATTGTTTCAAGCACCAAAAAAGTTCCACTACCAATGGAACCTTACCAGGAGCAAATACATTAAACAGACCAAGCAGGGAAACTCTTTTCTTGCCAACTTTAATGTTAATATTAGTACAGCATCCCCCCCCCCCCAATATTGCTTGCTGGGCTTGCTTGCTTTGTGCTGCTCCACCATTTGAGCACAACTCCAGTTCATTTTTCCTTTTAAGAGGAGGAAAGCAAGCTCTAAATCTGAGCATCCTCCTACCTTCAGGTATTTGTTTTGAATGGCTGCTTTATTGAGTCCTCGCCATTGGTCATCTTTGGCACTGGTTTCCTTCAAGTCTACAAAGTAACCAGTGACTGGAGTCCGCCCAGAGTAGACTGGAGGCTTCCACTGGAGAACCAGGGAGTTCTTCCTGACTTCACTGTATTTAAGACTATGTGGTGGTCCTAGAGAGAGACAGAAAAAGAAATGAGACAGAAAGACAGAGGGATACAGAGACAGAAAGATAGACAGGCAGAGACAGAGACAGATGACAGAAGCAGAAACAGAGAGATGTGAAAAGTTAACTAATTGAAGTCATGATGTAGATAAGAAAACAAATTTATAGCCACATTTAAGGATCTTAACATCTGCATCTGATGCTGGTGCTTTAAAAAAAATCTAGCTTCTCATGAAAGGAAGTATGTTGGCGGTATTTCTCATCCAGTTTTCACACCTGCTGTGTTTCAACTTACTAGGTCTTCTCATGTGGGGGTGGGAGGGCAGTTGGGCACATCAAGGTTCTTGGAACTGGATTAAAACTCCCTCAGCCATTCTGAGGCACGTGTTCATCATCTTCCCTCAGCTGTTTAAATATATTTTTGAGTGAGAGTGTCACTGTGTAATAGTTTGAAGACAGAAACTCTATTTGTTGGCATACAAATATAGAGAGCAAGAATATAATTGATGAAATCATTCTTTCAAAGGAAAAAGAAGTAACTTCCACTTGGAGGGAAATTTTTTTTTCTACATTCCCAAAATGAGTAAAAAAAAAAAAAGTATGAATGAAAGCTTACAGTTTATGAAAAACTTTTGCCAAAAAATATATATAGTGATCTCATGGGCTCTGAATTTGTACTAAATACTACCAAGTGTTTTATATTCAGTGATCTCAATCATCCCTAGGAAAATTAATAAGAAGTTCCCAGGAGCCAAGTATGTTGATAGCTTTCAAAAGGGAGAATGTCAGGATGGGCCCTGTGTGTATTCTCTCTGAATTCTTGGGATAGCCTAACTTATTATGTGATCACCTGTGTCTTTGTAGGACTATTAGTTGCTTATTCAGGTGGCATTATTTTTTTCTTCTTTTCAAATAACAACTTTTAACCAACAATCAAAATCACCTGAAGTGACTCACATCTGCCTAAAGCAACTACAAACACAGACTTGATTATTCTGCATTTTAAAATTTTGCAATTGCTAGTTCAATATTTGTTTCACCATTAACCTTGACTTAACAATTTCATATATGCGTCATTCTCATCTTCTGATGTCTTGTATTTAAATATGCTTAAATATTATTGCCAAAACTGACCCTGGTGTGGCATGTTCTGTTTGCCCAATGACCATGATCTTGTGTCCTTAAAACTCAGTGAGGCAACCAAACAGACAACATTGGCTCTATTTACAGAGGAGGAACTAGGCCCTTTGTACAGGAAAAGAAGATTTCACGTACAGTTCCTAGTTTGCTATTTATACTTGTGAGGCATTCCATGTGTCATTTAAGCTGAATTCAGTTTTTTCATGTGTACAATGCAATGGAAACAAAACATTGTTCCTTTTCTCTTCTATAAGAGCTCTCTTCACACATGGCTGGCCCAAACCTACTCAGCAAATCAAAGATGAGTCTGAGAGGCTAGGTGGTTATTCATTTCTTCTCTTGAGCATTCACTTTTGCAACTTTCTTTGGTAACAACATCACTTCCTATTACAATACTTTCTACAAATCTGCTCAGAAAGTCTAAGTCTTCAATCACTCTCATTTAACTTTATTCAGGAATTACAAAAATTTGAAAGCAATCTTTTGTTCAATTGGCAAGAAAGAATGTAAGAAACACCTACTGGCCCCTTCGTATTTATGAAGTTGAATGAACTCTTGAATCCTCAGTTCTCTTGTTATTTATTGTTGGTGGCACTGGGGTTTGAACTTATGGCCTTGCACTTGCCTAGCAAGTACAAGCACTTGCTCTACCACTTGAACCACACCTATCTTGTTTTTATTCATGCTTTGCAGAGAAGCAATGCAAGTCAGTATTCTCTGAGTGAAGGTAACATAGTGGTTTTTCAAGTGTGTAGGGTTTCAAGTAGAGAAGGGGTAGCATGGGGATCAAGACTGCTGTCTACCCAGGATTTTGTAGAGTAGCCTAGGCCTAGGAAACTTATGTCTATGGTGGTGCTATGGCAGTTGTTAGATAAGCTAAATATAAAACGAGGAGGAAGCACTTAGTCATCCTATAATGTGGAAAGAAGTTGGGTCTCAGAGTCAGTCCTATCAGAAGCAAAGTAAAATCATTTCCTACAGACAGTGGAAATGCTGGTTTGAATCTTAACTACTTAAAAAATTTGTATTCAAGATTTACATTTACTCAGTTTTACAACTCTGAAAGAGGTGTTAAGCCTAGGTAAGATTGTCTGCCTATTTTCTATTTTCTTCTTTGTCTCCCTAACAATTTCCATGACAACTTCAGGGCGGGGGGAGAGACAGAGAGACAGAGACAGAGACAGAGACACAGAGAGAGACACAGAGAGAGACAGAAACACAGGGGGGGAGGGTAATAAAAAAGAGGGAGGGAAATGGAGAGAGGCCAGACTTACATCCTAGGCTGTTATGATGTATCTACCAAGGTAATATAATGAAAAGCTGGAAAGAGGGTAGAGGACAGATACCAAGGAGTAGTCACAGGCTAAGAGAGATTTGATAAATAAGACTTCAGGGCAGTGGGAGAATGAATAACCATGACGTATGTTAAGACATTTTTTAAAATTTTGCAGTAGAACATGAATTGGATGCCTTTAATAGTCTTTAAGATGCAAAATCAAAGACTGGAACTCCCTTTAAAGACTCATTTGACAATCAAATTGTGTGCTTCAGTCAATCCAACTCTAACAGATTCTGAGCAAAGGCAACTCTGGGAATTATTTGGAACACACTATGTTAGTTTTATATTGCAATGTATATTATAGTAGTATCATAAAAAATTTTAGGGGCTGGGAAGGTGGCTCAGTGGTAGAGTGCTTGCCTTGCATGCCTGAGGCCCTGGGTTCGATTCCTCAGCACCACATAAGCAAAAAGAAAAAAGCCGGAAGTGGTGCTGTGGCTCAAGCCGTAGAGCTCTAGCCTTGAGCTGAAGAGCTGAGGGACAGTGCCCAGGCCCAGAGTTCAGGCCCCATGACCGGACCAAAAAAAAAAAAAAAAAATTTAGGTAAGTATGATGGACCAAGGGAACTCTGTTGTCTTCAATATTATCTATTTAATACTTCAATTGAGTTAAGCTGTAGGCTCTGCTAGGAGAAAACCCAAGCACAATACTGAGACATGGTTTCCACAGTTTCTATGGGTTACCTGGAACAGCAATGGTCCACTCTTCACACTTGAAGCATTCACTGACTGCAGAGGGTGCCCCCAACCCTGCAATGTTCATGGCCGCCACTTGGAACTGATAAACCGTGTTCTCCTTCAATTCGCTAATCTGCAACATTAACAAGATCACAGGTGATGAATGCTTCAGAACCATGCTTTCTAGTGGTTTAACATTGTATTGACTATGTCAAACCTACTCTAAGGTGACCTTGTTTTACTCTGGTTATTTTACATTCTACTTATTCACTGCTTGTGTAAGGTATAGTCACCTCCCTAGAGTAAAGGTAAACCCATGACTTGCTTAGAGCCCAAAGAACATGGCAAAAGTATTGGAATGTCAGTTTGTCACTATGCTACATCACATGGCAAAAGAAAAGGAATATTACAGATATAATTGTGGTTTTTAATTAGTTGATAGGGGGTTGATCAAAAGGAAGAGTTAAGGAAGAGGCTCAGTGGTACAATACTTGTCTAGGATGCATGAGGCCTTAGTTCAATCCTGAATGAGCTTTGACATAACCAGTGAACTCTTGAAATGGGGCCTGGGCCCTTCCTGAAGAAAAACACTGTCCTGGTGGCCTTGCAGCCGAAAATGCCACTTGTTAACTGTCCAGCCACTTGCATTTGAAGAACAGCAGGCCTACAGCTACAAAGAACTGAATTTTGTCAGCAACCTGTGGGTGCTTGGAAGGGACACTCCCACCTATGGATGAGAATGCAGCCAGTGAACACCACATGCCATCTGTGTCAGATCCCAGGAGAGGACCTAGCAAAGCCATTCCTTGCTTCCTTTCTCCTGGACACTGTGACTAGAAAAAGTAGGCTGCTTTAAACCACAACACTTGTGGTAATTTTTATGTATCTGTGAGTAACTGGTCTGTGTTTGAATGAAGAATGAATTTACAATATTGAAATTTTTACACTGTTTCTGTTTTTCACTGTGTGACCTATTTTCTATATCTCAGTGAAGATTGTGTTGTTGTGAGGCTACATGACATTTTTAAGGAAAGTGAATTAAGTAAAAAATGGATATGTTTTACAGAAAAGCAAACACAAAAGAGAATTTGTAAACTGGTAGAAAATTTGTGAACTGGCCATAGTGCAAGAAGACCCAAGATGGGAAAGAGAGAAGAATAGCAAGTAGGCATGGAAAAGAGACTGAGGAAGTCACTCAAATGTTTGTACAAATGTGAAGAAATAAAGACAGAGAAATTTGGTTGCAGCAATATTTTACTTTTTTTAATTTTTTTGGGAGGGTCCAGTCGTGGGGCCTGAACTCTGGGCCTGGGCACTGTCCCTCAGCTCTTCAGCTCAAGGCTAGCACTCTACCACTTGAGCCACAGCGCCACTTCTGGCTTTTTTCTTTTTTCTTATGTGGTGCTGAGGAATCGAACCCAGGGCCTCAGGCATGCAAGGCAAGCGCTCTACCACTGAGCCACCTTCCCAGCCCTCAACAATATTTTAGAAAATAAAAGAATTTTCTGAAGAAATCTTGAGAAGCTCAAAAGCACAAATTAAAAATTGTCTCCTCCCACCAAATTTCTAGGCAAATTTTTTTAAAAATACAAATATCTAGACAGATATAACAGCAGCCCACCAAATATAAAATAAGCATATTAAGAGCTGTCTAAAAAAAATGGACAATTACCCGCAAATGAGCAAACAGACTGAGTTGATACATCAATGAAATAAGCCAGAAGATAATTCAATTACATCTTCAAAGCACAAAGATAAAATAACTACCATTGTGGAAAGTTTTGCCCAGAAAAAAGTATTTTGTGGAGAACAAATAAATATAAAGTTATTTTCAGATAAGCAAAAATGAACAGTTTGCCCTCTGAGTACCCTCTGTAAAGGAAATTCTCGAATATTTATTTAGGGCAAAGGAAAACAATTTTAGATGAAGGTCAAAAGTGAAGAAATGAAAGCAAATAAAATGGGAAATATTTAGGTAAATCTAAACAAATATCCCTAAAAGAAAGTAGTTACAATTTTTTTTTTAAAAAGGATATAAGACACACATCCAAGAGACTATAAATTGAGTAGAAAGTAAATAAAGTATTTTAAGGCCTTTATATTTCTTTTTTTTTGGGGGGGGGGTCCGGTCATGGGGCCTGAACTCTGGGCCTGGGCGCTGTTCCTCAGCTCTTTAGCCACAGCGCCACTTCCAGCTTTTTTCTTTTTGCTTATGTGGTGCTGGGGAATCGAACCCATGCATGCAAGGCAAGCGCTCTACCACTGAGCCACCTTCCCAGACCCAGGCCTTTATATTTCTGAAACAAGGAAAACAATGGAAGTAACCTAACAGATTTTAAATCTGTTCAGCCACGAAACCAAACAAACCAACCCCCTATAATCTGTACCCTGTAAGCTAGTATAGGTGGAAATGGAATGATTTTTATAAAAAAAACTATTCAGTAGTACTCAAGAAAGAACAGAAGGTAAAACATCTAACAGAAAAATATAAAGGACAAAATAAAATGATTGGTTTAAAAGAAAAATCTGTAAAAACCAGCTGTATGCCGATGCCTCACGCCTGTAATCCTAGCTACTCATGAGGCCAAAATTTGAGGTTTGCAGTTTGAAGCCAGCCTAGGGAAGACAGTCTCGTGAGACTCTTATCTCCAATTAATCACAGAAAAAGCAGAAGTGGTGCTATGGCTTTAGTGGTAGAGGCCTAGCCTTGAGCAAAAGAAGCTCAGAGACAGTGACCAGGTCTTCAGTTCAAGCCCCAAGATGAGCACAAAAAGAAAGAAAGAAAGAAAGGAGGGAAGGAAGGAAGGAAGGAAGAAAGAAAGAAAAGAAAGAGAGAGAAAGGGAAGGAGGGAGGGAGGAAAAGAGGGAGGGAGGGAGGGAGGGAAGAAGGAAGGAAAGAAGGAAGGAAAGAAGGAAAATAGGGGGGAAACCTCACTTGAATTGGCATATTATAAAGAGGGTATCAGACCAGGCATTGTGGTATACACCTCTTTTCCTGTATAGGGAAGGCAGTAGCAGGAGAATCATAAGTAGTGAGATTCTAACTCTAAGTAAAAGAAAAGGAAAGGAAAGGAAAATATAGAAATGGACAAAATAGGGCTGGGAATATGGCTTAGTGGTAGAGTGCTTGCCTAGCATGCAGAAGCCCTGGGTTGGATTCCTTAGTATCACATATGGAAACAACAACAACAACAACAACAAAGCTGGAAGTGATGCTGTGGCTCAAGAGCTAGAGTGCTAGCCTTGAGCAAAAGAAGCTTGGGGACAGTGCCCAGACCCTGAGTTCAAGCCCCAGGACTGGCACACACACACACACACACACACACACACACACACACACACACACACACACACACGGACAAAATACATAGGAAAAGGTGTCCAAATTCATTCAACACCTGGTGTGTCAAAACTGGGAACGTGTGAAATGCCAGGTGTTATATGCAGAAAGGAATGGGAATTCTGCCCCCTTCAGGAAACAGTATAGAACTGTCTGGTAGAGTAGAAAATAAACCCTGTGACTCAGCACTTGTACTTTAGTAAATTCATACAGAAATTGTTGCTTATGTCTGTAACAGCAGACATCTACAAAAATGTTCAAAGCTACACAGTTTGATATAGGTTAAAAATGCCCATACAACAATCAGTAATGGAATGGATACGGTCATATAATGGAATACCATACAGTAATGAAAAAGAATGAGTTATAGCTACATATGTCAATATGGGAGAATCTTAAAGATAGTAACTTTGTGCAATGTGCTTCCAGTTTTGTGTGGTATTTCAAATTTTTCCAATGTTAAATTCAAAGACTGTAGCACTGAAGTGGGGAAAGCACTATTCTCTGGATTTGCCCTGCTCTAAATGCTCACAGAATGGAGTTCTATAAGTGTTGGGAGATAGTAACTTGAGCTTAATTAGTGGTGCTCTAAAAAGGAGCCCTCAGCCATGATAACAGGGAGACCCCTTAGGTACTCTGAGGTGGACTAAGCAGTGGAGGCGTCCCTAAGTAGAGAAGTATACTACCTTTATGGCCATAAGACATAGTGTTTCATTTTATTTTGTATTCTATGATAGGGTCTCTCTACATGAAATTCTACACGGGGATTCTGGGGCAGAATTCCCATTCTTCTGCATACTAACAAACACCCAGCATTTCACATGTTCCCAGTTTTGACACTCTGGGTGTTAAATGAATTTGGACACCTTTTCCTATGAATTTTGTCTATTTTTAAAATCTTTCTTTCCTTTCCTTTTCTTTTTATTAGAGTCAGAATCGCACTACTCCTGACTCTTCTCTACTTCACTTAGGCTAGCCTCAAACTTGCTATGTACCCTAGGCTGGGCACTATTATAAAGAAATTCATACTCTTTAAGTTAGTGACATTGGTTATAGATATTTTTCAAGTTTTGAGGGAAATGTTAGGAAAAGGTGGTCAAATGCATACACTTTCACATATATTCAATTTACCCAGTTCTATTTTCATATATATATTTGTATGCATGTGTGTGAAAAAAGTATGTATGAAAAGATGTGTGTGTGTGTGTGTGTGTGTGTGTGTGTGTGTGTATGAAAATGGAACCAGGTAAATTAAGAGAATGGGTGGAGTTGGAAGATATGGGGGAGAATAATAAAAGTGGTGACACTGATTAAGACTCATTATACACACAAACTGGCATGTGACATGAAACTCCTTTGTACGCCTACCAAGGATAGTTTTTTGTTTTTGTTTTCAAATAAAAAGGACAAAGAGAAAGAACAAAAACTGTTAGTTTTCAGTTGGGTGCCAGTGGTTCATGCCTATAATTCTAGCTACTCAGTAGGCCGAGATCTGAGAGGATCATGGTTCAAACCAGCCTGGGCAGAAAAGTCCCCATGAGAATCTTACCTCCAATTAACCACTCAAAAATTGGAAGTGACACTGTGTCTCAAATGGTAGAGCACTAGCCTTGAGCAAAAGAGCTTAGGATCAGCACTCAGGCACTGAGTGGCTCAATGACCAAAAAAAAAAAGGTTAATTTTCACAATAAGTATGCATCTTATGGTAAGTTTTCTAAGATATGTTTATTTATATGAATCAGAAAACATAAATCCTGCCTGGGTAGCAAAACCAGGTTACCAAAGCATCTGGTTCATCAAGTCATGACAATCCCCACAATGGAAACTGGAATGAAGCTATAAACCCTTCATAAGGTACTGATGCTGTGCACAAACGTATCCTCATTCATTGGACATGCACACTGTAGAGAACCCTGCTTACCTTGTATGCTGCATCACTGACAGCCTTGATGTTGGCTTCTCTCCATTTTCCTGGTATCCCATCCGTTACCTCACGATAGTTCACATAATAGCCAGTGATTTCAGCCCCACCAGTCTTAACTGGTTGCTTCCATCCAAGAACCATTGAGTCACGAAAACTTTCAAGACAAGTGATGTCGTAGGGTGGGGATGGTGCCGCTGTTGTAATAGGAATAGCTCATGAGTGAGGGAGAAATACATTTACCCTTCTGTGCCCATTAAACCTGCTTCATTGTTGTCATGTTTGAGAATGCTAGATCTTTTAATATAAAATGAAATTGAGCAGTGATTAGGCATCTAACTTGGTATATGTGTATGGTTTAAAAAAAAGTGTACTGCAATTATTATCCCAAAGATTTTTTTTTAATTCTTGCATACTGGGATGATATCCTGAAAAAATTATTCTTCCCCTAAGGAAAAAAAAATTAAACCATCCTAGGGATTGAATTTGCTAAGTAAGTACTCTACCACTTGAGTTCTATCTCTAGTTTTGTTGCATTTTAGTTTGTTTTTCAGACAGGATCTCATGGTTTTCGAAGGATAGCCTTGAATGGTGATCCCCATATCTCTACCTTCTAAGTACTTGTGCTACTTGACATTTTTACAATTTTTTTCTTGTTTTTTTGATACAGTCTAACTTTTGTTTATTTGGTCGTAGGCTATAATGTGCCTAACTTTTGTTTTTTTGGTCTTAAGCTATAATGTATCTATTTCCACCTGCTGACTTGCCAGAATTACAGGCATTTGCCAATATCCTGTATGTTTTTAAAGATTTTTTTCTCCTGAGAGCAATAAAATGTATATATAGATACCAATTTCTATTTCAATTTGCTTGTTTAGAATTTCCATGTTTCTAAATGGTTAGCACTTCAGAACTCAGCACACTTATTCTTGTGAGGTATTATGATTATATAGATTCTGCCTGTCATTAGAAAAAGTTCTTATTCTAGAGCATATCTAAATGTCACCTGTTAAAAATACTTTTAAACAAGGCACAATCTGCTACATAACTTTATCTTGATATATCCTTTTTGTGATGTTATTTTTACCATGATGTTAGGAATGAAAATACTCTGCAGCTGTCACTGTGTTTATTAGTGCCTAGCAAGAAGGTATTTGGAGAGTATTTTAAAATGTCTCCATGCTGTGGCTATGCTGAACAACTTTTCATTCAACTATTGCAATTCTGTTTTTCTATGATGAAGAAGAGGTAAAAATATAATGTATGAAAGGAAGGGAGGGAGGGAGGGAGGAAGGAAGGAAGGAAGGAAGGAAGGAAGGGAGGGAGGGAGAGAGGGAGGGAGGGAGGGAGGGAGGAAGGAAGGAAGGAAAAATGAGGTTATGGAAAGAAATTCATCTAGATATGCAATCACATCAAAAACAATTTTCTAAAAATTTGTCGGATTATAGGTGATAGGATACTATCATTATTATTTTTTAAGAACTCTGTAGATTTTATTGTTGTTAATTTATTGTTGTTAATTTTACTTCAAATTGAAAGGAAAAAAAGGACGGACTAAATAAAACACATCTGTACAACAAACACATTTCTCTCCCTGACTTTGAGGATGCCAACTTTGTCTATAAGGCTAAATTTATACCCCCTTCTCTATGACTTTCTTCCTCTACCTGGAAGAGCTCCTTTCCCTAAATTCCTCAGGGAGTACATTCTGTTCTATTTTTAATCTATTTCTTTCATCTTACTTTGTGCTATAGTTAGTTGTAGTTTAGGGGAAAGAACATAGATCTTGGAGTCAGAGGATCTTGGCTTCAATTCTTCTTTGGGCTTTTAACATTTTTAATTGCCATTATAAAGATGATTTATAGAGGGGTTACCATTTCATAAGTCAAGTCATAAGTACATTTCTTTTTGGACAATGTCACACCTTCCTTTGGTCTCTCCCAGTTCATTCTTATTTTAAAAAGGTTCTCAAAATGATGAAATATCTCCGAGACATAAAAGGTAGCTCTTAAAAAATTTAAAATCCGAAACAGTTGTTTCTATGCTGTTCACCCTTCACTTTTTTGTCTTAAAAAAAATCTTGTTGAGTATGGTGGCTCAAACTTGTAATCCTAGCTGTTCCAGAAATCTGAGGATCCTGGTTTGAAGCCAGCTTGTGCAGGAAAGCCTGTAAGACTCTTATCTCCAATAAACTGCCAAAAAGCTAGAAGTGGAGCTATGACTCCAGTGGTAGAGTGCTAGCCTTGAGTCATAAAAAATAAACAAACAAACAAATAAATAAATGCTCAGGGACAGTGCCTACTCCCCGAGTTCAAGTCCCAAGATGGTACCAAAAAACCCCAGCAACAACAAAAACAACTTTCACTTATTCCATTTCTATTTCATACCATTGGGACTACAAATTGTCAGGTGATTATCCAATTTTATCCTAAGTTGAAGAGATAAAAGTTCAAAAAATACAGAGGAGGTTACAGAAGTTGGAGGTATGGTAGAGATAGGAAATATTTAAATCATCAGCATTTTTACTTGATAAGAAAAAGTTTGTCTGGGATGTGTAAGTCACAAACATCTAACACCCTAATCAGATCATTTTTAGCTTATTGATAAGTACTCTTACAAATCACTTCTGGGAATGTGGATCCCATTTCTCTGAATACTGCTCTTAGTTGTTATAATTCCCTGCTAAACTTGTCTTGGCAAGTAAGAGGTGGTGATATGGATTACTGTGATTGATCAGATGAAATCTGATGATTGGCAGTGAAGATCCGTAACTAATATGTACAGTGTTGTTCCTTGGCAACATACTTTTTCTCTACATGTGCAGAACAGGAGCATTTCAAAGGGTCTCAACAGAAGCTATGGTTGTCAAGTTCTCCTACCTCATGTCTAAGTCTTTTAGCCAAATAAACCAATGATGTATCTTCTTTACAAAGCAAGGAAACCTCTAGAACCCAATCTCTCTAAGCATTTTATCAACCTCAAGCCCAAGAAACAACTGCATAAAACCCAACCTACATATAATGTCTTTTACAACTCATTAGACAGAAGTATTTTGAATAACTGGCTGAAAACATAAAATTCAGAATTAGCATTGATGAGAGCACGCAGATGAGGAATGTGATCCAGACAATGAGAGATGAAGACATGATGGAGACAGATGGAATAGCTTGACATTCGCAGTTCTCACCTACAAGGTCCTTCTTCTTTTTCAGGGAGTCAGACTTACTTTGCCCCTTAGGAGCTGCCTCTTGTGGTGATGGGGTGAGCTCTTCCTGAACTGTTTCACTTACTTTACTCACTTCTGGGTGGCCCAGACTGGAAAGGCTACCGGGTGAAGGTTTATTAGGTTTGCTACTGAGCAAAGCATCTTTCTGCAATGTTGGCAGGGAGGCTCCATGCACAACCCCCCTGGAGTCTGTTAGTCGACCAGGAACATCGATCAGTGGAGGGCACACATCTGGAGACACTCCTCCGCCTACAATCACCAGACAACAGAAACGCCATGAGCCCTGACACAACATACATTGCTCTTAGGGAACAGAACAAACAGAAAAGCATTAGGACTTTACAAAACCAATCTTGGCCTCACAGAAATCACTTGGATTTACAAGAATAAGGAAAGCATACATTTCACATAATTTATACAAGGAAACACTTCAATGTCTCAATATTCTGGGGAAAAAAAGAAATTAAAATAAAAAAAAAACACCACAGACATCCTGGGCACCATTTCTATTTTTAGAATCCAAAGTATTTTTAGTTTATGTAAGAAAAAATAAATCTCAGACATTTCTTGAGAGATATAAGGCCCACTATTTAGCAGAACAAAACAAAGGACTATAAAGTACACAAGAGACATAATATGAAAGATTATGATTTTTATAAAAATCACATTCAAGACAACAGAAATGATCTGTACCTCCCAACCTCTAAGAAATATGTCACTATTGTCCTTATTATAAGTAATACTAGAAAGTAATATGAGATGCTAGCTGAAGACAATCAACACTAAACAATCTTTTTTTTTTTTTAATCTGGTCATACTGAGACTCAAACTTGAGCTTTGGTGCATCCTAAGCATGTATTCTACCACTGAGCTACACCCTTAGCCCAAGCCTTCATATTCATATCACAGATTTTATTTTTGCTCCTCTGAACTATCTGGATCTCTTCCCTACTTTATCTGAGATTGGGAGGTACATAGAATGCATACATATAATTATTTTATTACTGGCTTTTTTTTTTCTGTTGGTTACTTTGCAAGCAGAGAGGACACACGATTAAGTGGCCACACATGCCTTACATAGACGACAGAGGCCTTTGCAAGAAGCGTATTAGTCTGCGGTTAGTGAAAAGAAACCGAGCTCTGTCATAGATGAAGTCATTTTAGGTGCAAGATGGTTGGAGTTATAAATGATATACCACATCATGGAATCAGAATGGCCCTCAGGAGTCCCAGGATGAGCATGGAGTTAGGGGTGGAGTTCACACAGTGAGGAGTTTCTGAAGAAACTTGAGGAAAAGCTACAGGTGTAAGGAGGCTAGATAAGTGGATGAAGACCTGCAAAATGACAGCTATGGAAGGTTAGATGTCATCTAAAGTCAGAGAAGATGATCTTGCCAGCATGGTATCATGGAGCTGTATGAGAAGCCGTAAACCACTTCTGAAAACAATGTGAACTTAGTTTTTTTTTTTTTCATTATTTCCTCCCAGAAACTATTTACACAAAGAACTTACCAATAGCAGCTTTGACTTCAATGGCTTCTGAATCCTGGGAATATTCACTAAGTCCAGCTGCATTAACTGCTCTGACCCGGAAAATATAACTCTGACCAGTAGCTAGTCCATGACAAGTAAATCTAAAAAAGAAAGAACTGCTCAAAAGACTTTCTAGGAGAAAAGTTAGAGGAACTAAGTGCTTGTTTAATTGAATGATTTGATTTAGAAAAAAGTTCATTTTTCACAAGAGAGGAGATACAGAGATCTAGGTAGCATACAGTTTAGACAAGAAGACAATCAAGCTAAATTTTTGTATGCCATTACTAGAACTTGAACTCAAAGCCTGAGTACTGCATTTTAGCATTTTTTCTTTGTGGTGCCGATCCTGGGCCTTGACCTCAGGACTTGAACTCAGGGCCTAGTCATTGTCACTAAGAATTTTTTTAAAATCAAAGCCAGCACTTTACCACTTTTTTGATCATTTATGGGAGATAAGAGTCTCACAGATGTTCTTACCTGTGCTACTTTTTAACTGTGATCCTCAGATCTCAGCCTCTTGAGGAGTTATGATTTTAGCCATGGGCCACTGTCCAGTTTTGCCTCTAAGCTTTTCTGCTCAAAGTTGGTGCTCTACCACTTGGGCCATAGCTCCACTTTCAATTTTGTTTCATTTTTTTCCTTTCTTTTTAAAAAGTGGTTAGTTGGAAATAAGAGACTTGCAGATTTTTCCCCATCTTGGGCTGGCTTCAAACCTCAGTCCTCAGACCTCAGTCTCCTGAGTAGCTAGGATTACAAGTGTGAGCCACAGGCACCCAGTAATCAAAACAATTAAAAAAAATTACTGTCAGTAAAATGAGGCATTCTGGGGTTTGCCTGAATGTTCATTGATATGATGGGGGTAAAAAGAGCTAATTCTCATGTAAAGATTAGCCATAAAATACACGAAATATTTCCACAATATCTGACATATGAGACACTTAGTAAATAATAGGTGGCATTAATAGTACCATTAAGGCACTTCAGGTATGTATTCATAACTGTAACTCACTGGCAGGTCCCTGTCACACAGATTAAATTATTGACTCCCTCCATGCCATGGAAGATATATTATTTGAGTAATTGCATTAGAATCCAAAAATACAGTGAAAAAAATGTTTTCTAGTATCAGATCTACAGATCCAGTTGTGAGGTGTGAATCCGCAGGGGCTTTACACAGAACACAACCTCACTCTAACAGATACTGTGGCTATAAATAACTGTTTTGTGAATCACTGGAAAATTTAAATCTGTGGCAAGAGCTAGGACCTGGAGAAACAGCAGGTCTGTTAATGACACTATAGCTATTAGCTTATTCAAATGTTTAATAAAGTAAGCCATAACTTTCTGACTTCAGGGTCAGCTTGAGTATTTATTGAGCACTTTAGTGTTGGAGACTGGATTGGGCTGTGTGGATATGGAGATGAATAAATAGCAGGTGCCTTCCACCACCTCCTGCTTACTTGTGGAAAGGCAGAAGCTGCATCTCTTGGTGAAGCCTTCTAAATAGCTTCAGGAAAAATGCTGGGGTGAAGCGTACAAACAGATATTTTATTGCAAGAAACAAATCTCTTGCAAGATATACTGTCTTCTCTTAATCTGTTGCCTCTATTCTCTGATGAACTGTGAAGAACCAACTCAACCCGTGGGAGTCTATGACCTTCAAAGAAGCCCGAGCTAGAGGCTGCTCAACAAAATTGCTAATCTGACAATTTCTGGGAGGAACTCCCTATTTAGACTCATCCTAAATGGTAGGATAGGACAGATGGGTGAAACAGAATTCACCATCAGTTTGTAAAGCGGGTTGAGATAATAGTAAAAGAACAAAATAACCCTCTCCACATTGAAAGCAGATACAAACAAATTGCAAAGTATCTCAATGTTCTTGTTTGGGTGGTTTTGTTTTGTTTTTTTCTTTTTTCTTTTTCTTTTTGTTTTTTTTTTTTTTTCCCTATGTCAATTCTGGGGCTGGAATTCAGGGCCTGGACTCTGTCCTTGAGCTATTTTTGTTCAAGTGCTCTACCACTTGAGCCACAGCTCCACTTCCAGCTTTTTGGTGGTTAATTGGAGATAAAAAGCTTCATGGACTTCCTTGTCCAGGCTAGCTTCAAATCCTCAGATATCAGACTCATGAACTGCTAGGATTATAGGTGTGAGCCACCAGCAAGCAGCTGTTCGAATTTTTTTTTTTCTTTCTGTATAGCACTAGTTTTAACCATGTTCGGAACCTGCAAAATATTGATATTTTGTTTTCTGGTTATTTGAAATAACAGGATGTTTGTGTTTGAGCTTTTTCCTGTAGTGTTTATTAGACCATTGGAATCTAGTATCACATTGTATGTTAAAGATTAGAACAAGCTCACACTTGTAACCCTAGCTACTCAAGAGGCTGAGATCTGAAGATCAAGGTTTGAAGGCAGCCTGGACAGACAAACCTGAGACTCACATGTCCAATAAACTAGCAAAGAGCTAAGCTAGAGGTGTGGTTCAAATGTTAGAGCACCATCTGTGAATGAAAAAAAAGCTGTTAGAGCACAATGCCAAGTTCAAGCCCCAGAACTGGCACAAAAATATACAAGTGAGTGAATGAAAAGTCTAGAACAGAAGGGTAAGAAAGGAAGCACTAACCACATTAGAAAAATCTGATAAAATGAGCTCTTTGAACAGAAGGCATTATGTATTTCTAAAAGGGGGAAGGAGTAGCACAAAGGCAAAGAACCTTATAAAATGTAAAGAACTTATAAAAGAGAAAGAACTTACATAATGAGCTCTTGGAACAGCTGCCTTCTATATTTCTAAGAGTTTCACCTCCCAAATAAATCTTTTTTTCTCCCGAACTGTATTACATCAGACACATTCAGTTTTAAATTCATGGGAATAGGGGCTGGGAAGGTGGCTCAGCGGTAGAGCACTTGCCTTGCATGCCTGAGGCCCTGGGTTTGATTCCTCAGCAGCACATAAGCAAAGAGAAAAAATACAAAATAAAGATGACATTATTTTTTAAAAAATTCATGGGAATAATGTGTATGTATTTTTTTATTTTGGGGTGGTGCTGAGTTTTGAATGTAGGGCCTTGTGCTTGCTAGGCCCAAATCCTACCATTTGAGCCATGTCTGCAGGCTAGCATTTTTGATGATTATTTTGGAGATGGAGTCTCTTGGCTTTTTCTACTTGGGCTGGCTTTGAACCATAATCTTCCACAGCTCAGCTTCCTGAGTAGCTAGGATTACAAGTTTGAACCACTGGCACCTGGCTTTTTAATTTTTTTTCAATGTCCTTCCATTGGATGTCTGTGCTGCCTTTACGTGCTGTGGTGGCTCAAGGTCACCCCACTCGCTCACCGTGAGCCCTTTACTGGGTTGTTGTTACAAGGCTCCCACTTTCCAGAGCCAACTACACTGGACTCAATGTAGTACCCAACCAGTTCAGTGACGTCTTTGGACTCCTCCCACGAAACCACCACTGAAGTATCAGTGTTTCGACTCGGGATGATTTTGCCAGGAGCCTTGGGAATATCTGAGTGGAGAAGAAAATGGTGATCAGACTCAGAGAGGTTCAAGTAACTCACGTTCATCACACTTGAACAGTTATGCATAGAAATTTTACACAAATAAAAACATACAAATGCTTTAACTCATAATGAACTTGTCATAACAGAAAAGTTTCACAATGTTATCTGGGAAACATAAACTAAATAGCCAAAACAACATACTAGCTGTTAAAATTTCTGGGGAAGTTTCGGTGGTGGGGCCTGAACTCTGGACCTAGGTGCTCCCCTGAGCTCTTCAGCTCAAGGCTAGCGCTCTACCACTTAAGCCACAGTACCACTCTCGTTTTCTTGTGGTTAATTGGAGATAAGAGTCTCATGGACTGAATCTGAAGCACAATCCTCAGATTTCAGCCTCCTGAGTAGCTAGGATTATAAGTGTGAGCCACTGACGCCCAGTTGGAAGGTTACTTTTTATAAGCAAAAAGAATCAATTTTTATTCAATATATAGGGCAACCACAGTCACTAATTATATATGTAAAATAAGTATGCCACCATTTTCTACTTCTTATTATATGTATGTATATATGTAGATATACACTTATAATCTATAATATATACATCTTTATAATATATATAATTTGATTCCTGCCTTGGAATTTTATTCAGATTTTTCAATTGTTTGATCATTTTAAAAATTATTTTTTTAAAAATACATATTTTATTATTATAGAGGTGAAATACAGAGAGGTTATAATTACATGAGTTAGGTTCTGAGTACATTTCTTTTGAACCATGTCTCCCCCTCCCTCCCTCTCTCCCAGTTTTTCCCTTCTGTCCCCACCCACAAGATATATAGTTAATTTTCCACATAGTCTCCAGTGAGTACCACTGTCCTATTTGTTCACACTTTGTTCCATTTTTTTTGTTGGTTGAGGGGCTTGAACTCAGGGCCTGAGCACTGTCCCTGAGCTTCCAAGATAAAAGTCTCAGCAGGACTTCTCTGCCCGGGCTGGCTTTGAACTGTGATCCTCAAATCTCAGACTCCTGAGTAGCTTGGATGACAGGTATGAGCTGTTCCACCTTTTAGGTGTCCTCCCTTACACTCCTAAAGACAAATAAACTAACGAACAAAAGTAAAAGACAACAAAAATAGCAACAACAACAACACCAAAAAATCTTGTTTCCTTTTCGTTAAATATTATTTTATATGATCATATGCACTTAGCTATTGAGCCTTTGTGATCTGCTCCTATGAATATCCTCCTCTGGTCTCACTATGTGAATGTCTAGAGACCTGTATAATTCATCATATCCTAATGTATTATTTTTTAACCATCCAGTGTGTTTTCTTGTAGTTTTATAGGCACATTCTAATTACCACAAATTAGGGAAACCATGCAGCCTACGTTTCTTTGGATCTGGCTTACTGTGCTTAATAAAAGTTATCTTTGGATAGTTGTACCAAGGAGTTTCAAGTCAACATGTCAGTTTGTACATGCAATGCATTTTAATCAGCGTCACCCATCCATCTTTCTCCCTCCCCATCTACGGCAACCCCACCCATCCCGAGTCCTAGTTCTATTTGCATGTATGTACGTTGAGTATTATGAGTGCACTGTATGCTTTTTTTTTTTTAAAAGAGTTTTTATAGCATACATTAGTTACACTGTAATGTTTCCATGCCTGCATACAAGGGGCCAACATTTCTCCTGATGCAAAGTTCATAGTTCACATTTGGTAAGTTCACACTTACCGAGTTTGTCCCCTACCACGGTCACTTCCGTTGGCTCTGACGGTTCACCAACTCCCGCTGAATTAGAACAGCGGACACGAAAGCAGTAGGATTTTCCTTCAGCCAGGTCGAACAGAGCAAAGCGAGGAGACTTTACGGGGAGCTCTGTGTTCACTCGCTGCCAGTTTTCTGTCCCTGCGTCACACTGCAGCAAGAACAGTGACAGCCACTGAGAACCCACAAGTGCCAGGACGGACTCATGTACCTGCCAACGAACTGCCACCCATTTGGGACTACAGAAGGAGATGAGGAGACAGTAGGGGCGCTCGACGTTCTCCAAGATTCTCTCCATCAAACATGGGTCTGTATTGTTTGATACACACCGCCCTGCAGGGTGCACAGACCTTCTGGGGATGAGACTACTCGGTGCGGATAAAGAGCAAGTGAACTATTCCCTTAGGAAAGGTCAACACATCAGCAGTGGTCCAACAGAAATAGTTGCAGCTCAGCTCAGAGCATCGTACAGTTCTGTAACTGCGCACAGGTCTCTGGATGCGTTCTGCATCTCTGGTGCCTCAGCATCCGGGTGATCTGGGAGTGTGGCCTATATATGCCCTGTGTGAGTCTCAGTGCTGTGCTCCTACTATCTTCTTCTACCTTCCTCATCCAGATCGGCGGACTGCTGGGGGAATATGGAAACTTTTAATCACAGATTCACATTACAGACTTGAATGGAGAAATCAAGAGTTGGATTATTCCCAGAGTGGGAATATTCAACAGAAGCCAACAATGAGTTATCGGAAGAAAATGCTTCCAAAGGGTTGTTAGTGTCTTTATATAGGAAAGGCCATAATTAGTGTCAGTGAGGTAATTTAGAACTCCTTCCTGTGGAGCATTTCATGTAGTGGGGTGGAAGATGCTAAATGCACCAGGGAGTCAACATTTATCTATCACTCTATTATTGCCTTGTATTTTTTTAAGGGGGAGGGAGTGTAGGATGCTACTTTAGTTATATTTTGTTTGAGGCTAATATTTAGAAGATACAACAAATAAGTATAAATTTTAAATATTATTTTCACAAACCCAGAGCTTCGTAGAAAATATACAGATTGAATGTGGAAGAGAGGATGCATTTTATTGTTTATTTCTTTCTACAGAAAGCTTTTGGAAATGGCATGATGTAACGTTGAGGTCTTACCTTTTCCACAAAGTACATAATGCCTTCATGGCCACGTTGGCCAGGAGGCTTCCAGCTTAGCACTACATAGCTCCGAGTGGCCTCAGTGACAGAGAGGTCTGTGGGGGCACCAGGAACAATTCCCTCTGGAAAACAACAAGGAGAGCTGAGTTGTGCACATTCAGTTTAGTCCAGGACACTCAGTGAGCTACAAGATGCTTCTCACTTCATGGAGAAAGAGTTAGTTATGGCTTAAATATAAAAAGCATCTTGTCTCTAATTTTCTTTCTTAGACATCAATTAATCAGCCATTCGTACAGTCTTCGGTGCCCTGGATCTTGTATATACACTTCTCTAATTCAGAGAGGGGAAGGGGAAAAACAACATGCTTAAATAGGGATACAGATTGACCCATTGTAACAATGAGATGAACAAAACTATGTTGAAAACAAACTTTACAACCTGGGGTGGGGGACGATGTAATTGTGGAGGTGGGAGGGAAGGAATGGTAGGGGGAAAACAAAGGAAGAGGCAACAATGCTCGATAGGAAATGGACTCATTTTCTTGTTCATGTAACTGTAACCCCTCTGTACAATATTTTTACCATAAAAACCATACAAAAAATTAAAAATCAAGAAAAACTAGTCAGGGAATTATTCAAATGCCATTGAAAATATATGCAGCAAGCCAAGCTTGGTTTTGCCTTTGACTCATTTAGGTGAACAGGGAAGTTAAACATCACAGAGCAGTGAGCGCTCAAGTGCTGAAGGACAGAAAGAAGAGAACAGGGAGATCTAGGGTGTGCCATGATGGTGGGGTTGGTCTTGGGGTCATGAATGATGAGACATGTGGGAATAATGGCACTCTGGCTCTATCTTAAGATTTTGTTCCATCTTCTTAGGGAAACGGATAAAGCAGATACTGGTCATTTCCTTTATTGGCACTGGCACGTGCAGTATCCTCTCTTGGCTTCTTTGGAGTATCCCTCTATTTTCAGTGGTGTTTATATTTCTATCTTTGTCTCTTACTTTGAGTCACTAACTTAACCTTGACCTCTGACACTGATGTAGTTTCAGACCCTTTCCATGCTTAGTAAGATCAACTTTGTTAAAAATTCAGTTGTGAGGGCTGGGAAGGTGTCTCAGTGGTAGAGTGCTTGCCTTGCATGCATAAGACCCTTGGTTCGATTCCTCAGCACCACATAATCAGCAAAAGCTGGAAGTGGGGCTGAGACTCAGGTGGTAGAGCACTGGTCTACAGATGAAGAGCTGGGGGACAGCGCCCAGGCCCAGAATTCAGGCCCTACGACCGGCAAAAAAAAAAAAAAATTCAGTTGTGAACACAACTTATTGGAACTGTCCATAACACAATGTAAAATATCCTAAAAAACATAAACTATTTACAGATAAATTGGACACAAAAAGTATAGGGCTTTCATTGAAACTGTTCAAATCAGATAAGTGAAAGATGGTAAGTGCTTGGTTCACAAATTGAAGGATTAAATTTGTTAAAATGTCAGCTTAGATTCAGCAGAATCTCAACTGAAATCCTCGCATTGTATAGAATTTGTCAAGCTAATTTAAAATAAAATTTTATATGGAAATGAAAAGACAAAATAGTGAAAACAACTTTCAAGATCTTATATTTCCTGATTTTAAAACCATAAAGCATATATATGACAAAAATGAAGGTAAATAGTCAAAGCAGAGTGGTACTGACATAGAGAAAGTTAAATTGACCAATGAAAGATTCCAGAAATAGATCCATAGTTATGTGTGTGGGCAACTGATTTTGACAATGGTGTCAAGGCAAATTCAATGGGTTAGGGGCATTCTTTTCAATGGATAGTTGCCAACATAATTGGATGGCCACATGCAAGCAATAAGTGAGATCTGCCAGGCGCTGGTGGCTCACGCCTGTAATCCTAGCTACTCAGGAGGCTGAGATCTGAGGATCGCGGTTCAAAGCCAGCCCGGGCAGGAGAGACCGTGAGACTCCTATCTCCAATAAACCACCAGAAAACCGGAAGTGGCGCTGTAGCTCAAGTGGTAGAGCGCTCGCCTTGAGCTGAAGAGCTGAGGGACAGTGCCCAGGCCCAGAGTTCAGGTCCCACGACCGACGACAACAACAACAACAACAAAAAAAAGTGAGATCTTACTTCATACAATTTATAAAAGAAGTAATTTGAAATAGATCATTGATTAAAATGCAAGAGTTAATACTATAATACTTCCAGAAAAAAGATATAGGAAAATATTAAGATTTGACAAAGATATCAAATGACCCTGAACTAGTAAATAAGCACCTGTGCTCAATGTTATTTGGGAAATGCAAATCAAAATCACCAAGAAATACCATTGTGGACCCACCTAAGAATAGCTAAAATAAAAAATATTGATCAGGTACTAGTGATAATATGGAGCAACTGGAACTTTCTCAGAGTGTTAGTGGGAATGTGAAATGGTACCATCATTTTGGAAAAGAATTAGCACTGCCTTTGAAAACTATACTCCTACTATATAGCCTCTTCATTCAACTTCTAAGTATTTACCCCAGAGAAGTCAAAGCATGTAACTCCACACACTTAAAAATGCTCAGAGAAGTTGTTAATTAAACAGTGAATGGAACCTCTCTATACAGCATCTTTACGATAAAATAAAATAAAATAAAAACAATGAATGGCTGGGTGAATTAGAATGACCTGATATATGCATCAACATGGATAAATCTGTAGATGATTATGCTGAGTGAAAGCAACCACATATGGGTATAGTTCCATTTGGCCAACATCATGGACAATGCAAACTATGGCTACAGAAAATAGATTGGTGGTGGTGTGGAGGCAGGAGAGAGGGTAGTAATTACAATGGGACTTGAGAAAATTTTAGGGGCAATGATTATGTTCATCATTTTGATCACAGCAATGGCTTCATGGATGCATACAATTTATCAAATTGTACATTTTATATATGTTTAGTTTATTGTAATGACACATATTGTTAAAGCTTTAAAAATGAAGTACAATTTTCCAGGACCTGGAGGTTTTATTCGGCAATATAATGTATGCTTAGCGTGTACAAGGCTCTGAGATCAGACCTTAGCACCTCTGGCCTGTATTCTCTGATAAATTAAACATAATAGAAGCCGGGCGCCGGTGGCTCACGCCTGTAATCCTAGCTACTCAGGAGGCTGAGATCTGAGGATCGTGGTTCAAAGCCAGCCCGGGCAGGAAAGACCGTGAGACTCTTATCTCCAATAAACCACTAGAAAACCGGAAGTGGCGCTGTAGCTCAAGTGGTAGAGCGCTCGCCTTGAGCTGAAGAGCTGAGGGACAGCGCCCAGGCCCAGAGTTCAAGCCCCACGACCGACAAAAAAAAAAAATTAAACATAATAGATGATCTCATTTCCATCTGCCTTAGTACATACTTTCCAAAATATCATAAGTAATAATCATTCTACTCTCTGCAACAAGCCTAAACTGCATTGCAAAACATTAACAACCAGAATATTTACCTGTAGGTTCCTCTTCAGTGACAATGATCTGTCCAGTCCAGGGTGCTGAAGGGCGACCTGAACAGAAAAAAAGTAGAAAAATCACAAACATTCCCAGATGTGTTTTTAACTGATCTGTTGATAAGTAGACTAGATTAGTTAAAGATGAGTTTGTACACTAAGGTATTTTACTAGTATATCATTGTCAAATATGAATGAAGTAGTCTGTGGGTGACAAGGCCTCAGTCAAGGGACAATGATCTGTCAGAATGTAGAATTAGCCTGAACTGAATGAACTGACTTTTCTGGAATCGTACTTACAAAATCTAGGTAAATAATATCTCCTGGTTCAATGATCAATAGAAATCTCCCAAAGCTAGGTCACTTTCTGGATCCTTCCTAAGAGATTGCCTCTGTTTGGAAAAAATACTTTTAGAACAATTGTAGCTCTGTCCTAATGAAGATGAATGAGGAGAGAGAGTGGTGTTTAGACATTAGAGCTTAATGAAAGCAATTTCCCCCACTACATTTTGAAGAGTATTACCTACCAAAGGAAACCAGCTTAGATCTGGAGAGAGGACAATGGAAGAGAAGGCATAGAGTTACATGAGTGTCCTATTTAACTAAGGCATTCTGGGACCCCCATAAACGTCAGAAAAAGAATGGTTCACCTCCTGTTTTAATCAAGAGCTTGTCATCAGTTTGCGCAACAACAGCAAGGTGAGAAAGAAAATGACTTATTCCCAATTTAGACGATCTTATTCTGGTTGTAATTATTAAAAGAGGAATAGAGGAAAGGATGAGGCAGAACCGGCAAATTTAGATAAGAGGGAGAGACGTTCGATGGTTGGTGGAAGTGGATTGGAGAAAAATCAAGGATCCTAATTAGACATGGAGGCAAGAAAAAGGTAACACTATTTTGCTTCAGTTTTTGTGATGATAGTACATGTAATTGACATGAAAAAAATGACACTATAAATTCGGCATAACTTGGAATCCTCCACAAAGCGTATTGGCAGTGCCTGAAGACAATTTTGATCATCACAACTCAGGAATGGTCACTGGCATTTAGTAGGTAAAGGGAAAGAATATAGCTAGACATCCAGTGTCCGTACACAACCCCTCTCCCTAGCAAAGAATTATTGGCCTAAAACATCAGTAAGGATGAAACTGAAAATTCTGGTACAGAGTGAAATGTTATTATCCAACAATTCTTCTAATGCCATTTTGTGGTCCCTGAGATTGGGCTGTCACATGGGTTCCTATGAGACCAAGGGAGGTAGGTATAATTCATGTACTATTTTGTATGTGCATATCTGTGCTGGTACTGGTACTTGAACTCAAGTTCTCAAACTTGCTCAGCTTTCTTTTACATGGTTGGCACTTTACCACTTGAGTCATGCCTCCAGCCCAGCTTTTGGCTAGTTAATTTGAAGATGTAGTCTCACAGACTTTTCTGCTTAGGCTGGCTTCAAGCCTCAATCCTATAGGTCTCAGCTATGATTTTGACATTAGGGCTTAAGAAACTAAAATAGATGAAAAGATTTAATACTGCTAATGTGGAAACTCAAATTTAGAATAGATATAAATTATGTAAATACACATTTCCATCAATATAGAGAAACTCAAAGTATTAAGATGTTAATGCACTAGGAGAGGACTTTGAGGTTAAGAAATTCACTTCAAAACATGGTTTGTTTGTTTTTGTTGTGTTGTTTGTTTTTGCTTTTGATAACAAAGGTGGGGCACAGAAAGGGAGGGAGGAAGAATGAACAAATGCAATCATGCTATTCATTATATACAATATGTAAAATAACCTATGAAACTTGTAGGCAGGGACTGGAGGGGAAAATTGAAGAAAAGTGAAGGAAGTGGTGACATTGTCCAAAAAAGAAACGTACTCATTACCTGACTTATGAAATGGTAATCCCTTGGTACAAGATCTTAACAATAACAATAAAATTATATTAAAAAAAAGAAAAAGAAATTCACCCCACGCCATCTGGAATGTACTAATAATGTATAAATGCCAGTGTTCTCCAAGCTATTTCATTCCACACATATTGCCTAGAACCCAGCTTAACAAGACAAACTTTTCTGAACAACATTTTAACAAATGGAATAAATATAAAATAAAGCTCCCGAGACAATACATAGGTCAAAAAAGAACTCAGCAATAACAACCCCCTCCCCCCAAAAAATAATCCATACATTTTTTTGTTTTGTTTTGAGGCTTCTCCCATCTAGAGCTTTCTGCTGAAAAATGGATTTCTTACAGGTACGTGGCTCACGCCCGTAATCCTAGCTACTCATGAGGTTGAGATCTGAGGATTGAGGCTCAAAGCCAGCCTGGGCAGGAAAGTCTGTGAGACTCTTATCTCCAATTAACTACCAGAAAACTGGAAGTGGTGCCGTGGTTCAAATGGTGAAATGCTCGTCGTGAGCTGAAGAGATGAGGGACAGAGCCCAGGCCCAGAGTTCAAGCCCCATGATAGACCAAAAAAAAAAAAAAAGAGAGAGAGAGAGAGAGATTTCTTGTAGGCGAGATCAAGAGGCGGGTGAGAAGACAAATAGAGAGAGGAAAGGGTGAGTGCTGTCATAAAACGTAGTGTGTAGATGTGAAAATGGAACCAGGTAACTTAAGGGGATGGGTGGGGTTGGGGAAAATGAGGGAGAGCAATGGAAAAAGTGACATTGATAAAAATGCATTGTACTCACAAACGGACATTTTAAATTGAAACCACTTTGTGGTTTTTTATTCTTGTCTCCCTCTACTGGTAGGGATAGAGATAACTTTACAATAAAGCCTGCATCAGTTGTTATTGTTATTATTATAAATAGGTTTAAGAAGATCCTGAAAAATGAAAATGCTTACTTTTAAGTCTAGCTTTCTCAGCTGGGTCCAGAGCAGCCACAGGCTCAGAGACTCGAGATGGTAGGCCTATTCCAGTTTCATTCACAGCTCGAACTCGGAATATGTATGAACGACCTTCTATCAATCCAGTGACTGGAAATCGAGCAAACTTCACAGGTGTGTCATTGCACTGAGACCAGCAATCTGTGCCTACCTCACACCTGAGGGAAAGAAAGATTATCACTCACAAAAATAAATTACAAGAAGTATGGCTAAATCCGTAGTTCTAAGCACAAACCCATTCAATGGCTTCAGATCTTCCTTGTATTAAATACATAACTCAGGCTTGGCTTGCTACTAAATTCACTCAGAGGCAATGTCTTATTTAACCAGAAGAAAAAAGACTTCAATCTTTCCTGTATTTGAAAGCAGGCAACTGAGAGATCTGTGTGCTAAGCCAAGGAGTCTGGAAAGAGAAGCAGCCCCTGTCCATAAAAGATTATGTTATGACTATGTTTGTTAAAGATGCTTAACTTTTATATGAGAGACATCTGCAGGGGGAGGATCTCTTCTCCAACATCTCTAGGCAGATGCCTTCTCTTCTACCACTGGTGGACATTTTTGTCTTCTTTAGTCATTATGTCAAAAATGCAAGTATTTTGCACTGTAGTTTGGAAAATAACTCACCATAGTTACTTAGTGGACAGTTATTATATTCTGTGGCGGGGGGAGGGCAAGGAGCTTATTGAAATATGCTTGTTTACTTACAAGATGGGATTCATGAATGGAAGGGGGATTCCCAGAGGAAAACTAGGCACTTGGAAGCTGATTCTAATTGAGTGCCTCAGCAGTAGCTGGTACTCAGGAATGAAGGGCAAGCTTCAGGAGACAAATTATGATTGTTCATATTGTGCTTTGGCCTAATCAACAGAACTTTAAAGACTCAACATGTGCTTCAACTGTGAAGCATTTGGACTAAGTACCTCCTCATTTCTTATAAGTAGGATATTGTGCTTTCATAATATTTGCCCCAATGTGGTTGTATGTTCAAAATGCAGTAGTAAATGATTTTCATGGGAGTATGGTGCCAAGAGCAGTATGAATTACTTGAGGGTGGGGGAGAGAAGAGTGTCTTCAGTTCTTTACCATCACTTTAATTCTCCGACATAAACATGGACATTTTCTTCAACATTACATAAATTGATATCAAATGTAGCTTCAATCCCTGTCTCCCATCCATTCTCCCTAAATCTTTCCTTAGTAGACTCTCACATTGCTATGAGTGTGTCTTGGAAGGGAGCTGAGAGCATCTCCAGAAGTTCTTCCAGGACTTTCCCTCTTTCCTGAGCAAGGCACCATCAAGGGGCCCAGTGATACAAGGGACTGTTTTTCACCCCTTTTATGGACAGAAAGAAAGGTAGAGGACTATGATGGAAACTTCTACAGCATATTGGAGCAGAAGAACACTAACTGACCGCCAGGATAATGTTTGAACCCTAATTCTGCTACTTACTACTTATGGCAAGTAGGTGTTTGCTCACTAGTATGTGGTCTTGGGTCAGCTACCTCCCTTCTTACTTAACTAGCAACACTGTCTTCAGGATGGTTAGTGGTAAATATATGGAGTTTTCAGCACAGTACCACGCTTGTAGCAAATGCTGGATTAATATGAGACACAATGTGGTTATTTTCATCATGACCAAGGCAAGAGGAGAACAAAATGTACTTATTGATTGTCCCTTCATCGATCAAAGTTTGTAGATCCCTTGGAAATTTGCCACAGATAATAAAGTAGAAACTGCCAGATGCCTGTGGCTCATGCTTATAATCAGAAGATTGCAGTTGGAGGCCAGTCCAGCATATATGAAAGACCCCTTCTCAATCAAGTGCTGGGTGCAGTGAGGTATGCCTGTCATCCAAGCTGCAGGCAGTCTAGGAGGACAAGTTCATGTAACTCTATTGCAATGCAAAAAAGCTGGGCTTGGTATGTATACCTGTCATCTATTCCAGATACTATGGGAAGCCTAAAATAGGTGGATTGCAGTTCATGCATACACCTGGACAGGAAGCAAGACCCTATCATAAAAATAACTGGCACCAGTGGCTCATGCCTGTAATTCTGGCTACTCAAGAGACTGAGATCTGAAGATCACTGTTCAAAACCAGCCCAGGCAGGAAAGATCATAGGACTCTGTGATTAGTTGTCTCCAACTAATCACAGAAAATCCAGAAGTAGCTCTGTGGCTCAAGTGGCAGAGTGCTAGCCTTGAGCAAAAGGAGCCCAGGGACAGTGCTCAGGTCCTGAGTTCAAGCCCCAGGACTGGAAAAAGAAATAACCAGTGCCAAAGAGGGATGAAGGCATGATTCAGCAGCAGAACATCTGTCTAGTAAGTGAGAAGCTTTGAGTTCAAACCCTAGTGTCAGCAATAATAACAACAACAATGTTAATAAAGCTGAACTGAAGTTAAGAAAAAGAAACTATGTGAATCTTCATGACCCATCATTAGTAAACAATGGTTCCATCACTGGAGTCAATGGGTATACATTTACATATTGTTATATATGAAGCTTAACAGTTACACTTATTATCTTCCTCAATAAAAATAAATAAAATGAGAAATAGAAGAGCTATTTGAAGCCTGGCGCTGGTGGCTCATGTCTATAATCCTAGCTACTCAGGAGACTGAGATCTGAGGATTGCAGCTCAAAGCTAGCCCAGGCAGGAAAGTCCATGGTTTATCTCCAATAAACCACCAGAAAACTGAAAGTGGCATTGTGGCTCAAGTGGTAGAAGGCTAGCCTTGAGCTGAAGATCTGAGGGACAACGCCCAGGCCCAGAGTTCAAGGCCCACTACTGATAAAGAAAAAAAAAGATAGCTATTTGAAAAGAAATAAAGACAGAAAACAATAAATTTAGGTAATAGTCTAAACTTGTTGTCTCTTTTGTCCAAACTCACTGGATAATTAATGTGTAACACCTGGTTAGTATAAATACTAGTGCCTGTAAATGTTGGGGTATGCAAACAACAAGGACTTACAGGTAAGAGGATAGTTTAATGCTATGGATTTTTGTCATTATCTTTTATATAACTTGTATAACTTGAAACCACACTCAGTAATGTAAATAAAAATTCATTCATATTTCTGTAGTCAATATTTTAAAATTACTGACATACTAGGACTATGACATTGAATATATTGAATATCAACTATTTCATTTCTAAAGTGTCAGATTAGATCTGCAAATTTATAGCATTCATACCAAGTTAGAGTCCTGAGTTAATCAAATTTTAATTTATCTTTGAAGTTAAGGCAAACAGGAAGGTTGATAACTAGGAACATGTAAATATAGATATGAATGTGGCTTATGTGTATGTATATCAGGAGAAAGAGAAAGAGAGAGAGAAAGAAAGAAAGAAAGAAAGAGAGAGAGAGAAAGAGAGAGAAAGAAAGAAAGGAAGGAAGGAAGGAAGGAAGGAAGGAAGGAAGGAAGGAAGGAAGGAAAAAAGGAAGGAACAAAATACATGCACTTATATAGCCAAAGAACTATAAATGAAGTTATGCTGAGAACTAACTTATCAATAAAATATCCCAGAATAGGGCTCCCTCCATCTACAGCTGGCTGCTTCCAAGAGATGATGATGTAATCCTTGTTGGCATCCAAGCACATCACATCCAGGGGTGCAGCAGGGGCTCCTTCAATCTCTGCATCAGCATCTATGGAAACAGAAGTATCCCATTATCCCCTCCGTCCTGCTCTGCCGGCTTGGCAGGATGAGGCCACAGCGCACACACTCTCACCATGCCACCACAGTGGCTGCATCTTTGGTCCCAATGGAGAAAGTTTCAAATCTCATGTGTTCACCAACATAACCAGGTATGCCTTTCAGCATCAGTGGGAAGAACACTGTTAGAAAATGGAAAGTGCTCTGAAAAGATCCTGTGACCTTTGCTTCATGGCCCTTTCTGTCCAAAACATTACAAAAGAAAATTAATAGGGAGATCTCAGAAATTTACTATTAGACAAGTCATCTTATGTCAGAAAGTCCATGTTTAGATGCGGACTGTGCAATGTTGCTAATAAACTATGAGAAGTCCCAAGAGAATGAGACTCCAAATGTGATAAATAGCCCCTTCTGTCACATACTTAGGAGGATAAGAGTCAAGGAGCTGTACCCATGTTACACTGAATATTACCATTTTGAAGGAGATAGGAAAATATTGGTTTTAACTCCACAGTGGTAGATATTGATTGTCAATTTGATCAAGATTGAGAGACACTCAGGAGACTAGTGAAGCACACTTCTGGGTATGTGTGTGAGGATGTTTCTAGAGATGGTTAGAACTTGAGGGCTCTGACCAATGGTTTAATCCACTGATGAATTCAGAAACTGATAGACTGTTGAGAGGTGGTGGAAGCAGGGTGTGGAAGGTGGGGGTCTGACTGGTGAAAGGAGGTTGGGGTTGTGCTTTGAAGGCTCTGCCTTGTCATAGCTTGGTGTCATAGTTCGCTGCTTCCTGGCTACCATGAGTTGAAGAGCTTTGCTCTGTCTCATTCCTCTGCCATGATGTTCTGCCTCACGACAGCCCCAGAAACACAGAACCAGCCTAATGTGGACTGAAACCTCGGAAACCACGAATCAAACACAGAACCAGCCTAATGTGGACCGAAACCCCAGAAACCATGAATCAAAACAAATCTTTTAATCATAGTATTAGAGAAACTCACTAGCACACCAAACAATTGCTCCTAAACCAAAGGTAGCTGGAAAAAGAATTTATACTATCCACATTTGAGGTTTGGATATATGAATTTAGTAAAAGCCCAGGATGATACTAGAAACAAAAGAAAGTTCATGCAATGAGATTCTCTAATAATGTGGTACTCCAGATTCAACGACATTAGTAAATCTGGGCTACTTTTAGGAGGAGAGAAAGGGGAATCAAATGTTCACTTGCAACCTTTTAAGTGAGAATGATTAAGACAAGAGGCAGGGTCTCGGGAAGGGCTCTACAGTTGCCAGTTCTTCTTGGTGTTTGACCAACCCTTTTATAAACAGAGTTAGAAGGAAGACAGGCTAAGATGTATAGGGGCCACTTACCCAAGGGAAAACACTTTTCTTGACTGGACAATCTTTTCCTATTATTTATACTTCTGTAACACTCATGAGTTACTAAGACATTGGATATTGAGGCAGAAACATGGACATATTTCTGAATTTAATGCATTTGCATTACCCGTAAAGATTTAAATTACTTGGACTTTGAACATTTCGTTTCATGCTCCATAAGCCAACACGGAAAGTATTTCTGGGCAAAGGTGGCCTGCAGACGTGCTAATTGAGACAGTAACTAAATCATTGTGCCTGGAATTGAATGCAGAATCCCTTTAAGGAAACCAACATTTTCATGAAGAGATACTTCTTTCCTTCCAGGCTTTGACTTGACAGGGGAGAGTGGACGGTGTGAGTAGAACAGAGCTGCCTAAGTGGTAGAACTGGTACTGCTACAAAGTCACTCAGCCTCCAGGGAAACAGCTTACAACTACTAGCCATATTCTTTTTGTTAACAGTCAGTAACATGACAATCAGCAACTCTTGCATTGATGGTGCAGAATTTAGTTCACTCTTGCATTCATGTATAATAACAGAGACAGGCTGTAGCAGGGCCTGGTAGATATCAGACATCCAGGGAGCCACATTCCAGCATTTCTGCATCATGGGTTGCAATATGCCATTTATAGAGTGTGCTTGGCAATCTTTCACTCAGGTGTCCATTTATCTATCCTATCTATCCACCCAATACCCTTCTAGGTGCTAAACACAAAAGCCAAAAAAAGGGCCATTCTTTCTCTTATGAAGGTACAACATAGCAAAGGAAGGAAAATAGACTTTGAATGACGAGGGCATGACTGTGAAGCATTACATAACAGTATTGGCTTCTAGCAGCTGCTATGCATCGCCACTCCACAGTACCCAATCAGGAGTTGCTCCTCTTCTGCACCTATTAGTTTCTGGTATGGCAGATAAAAACATTCTTTTATTCCAATTTCTATTGCTTTGATTACTGGTGAAATTTCTTCATGTACTATTTTTTTGTAATTTGAACTTCGCCCTTCATGACATTTCTATCCTATCCCCCATAGCCTTATGATTTCATGCTATATATGTGTGTGCATGCGCATGCATGGATGAATGTGTGTGAGAGAGAGAAGAAAGAGGAAGGGAGGGAGAGAGAGAAAAAGAGAGAGCAAGAAGAAGAATAAGAAGGAGGAGGAAGAGCAGGAGGAGGAGGAGAAGAGGAAGAGGGAGAAGGAGAAGGACACGGAGGAGAAGGAGAAAGAGGAGGAGGAGGAGGAGAAGAAGAAGAAGAAGAAGAAGAAGAAGAAGAAGAAGAAGAAGAAGAAGAAGAAGAAGAAGAAGAAGAAGAAGAAGAAGAAGAAGAAGAAGAAGAAGAAGAGGAAGAAGAGGAAGAAGAGGAAGAAGAGGAAGAAGAGGAAGAAGAAGAAAGAAGAAGAAGAAGAAGAAGAAGAAGAAGAAGAAGAAGAAGAAGAAGAAGAAGAAGAAGAAGAAGAAGAAGAAGAAGAAGAAGAAGAAGAAGAAGAAGAAGAAGAAGAAGAAGAAGAAGAAGAAGAAGAAGAAGAAGAAGAAGAAGAAGAAGAAGAAGAAGAAGAAGAAGAAGGAAGAAAAGGTATCCTTCTCTATCCTATCCAATGTTAGCAATGATACAGTGAGGATCAATAATAACATTAGATATCTCTGATGGAGGCTTATGGATGGCTTTTCTTTTTCATTTTTTTGCTTACTTATAGCATCTATATTTTCACAATGAACACATTATCTATGCTAAATGTGAGTTGCTCTACAATGTGTTTCTGCAGACATATGGTACTTTATAAACTGATCATTTTGTGCAGAAACTATTTTCAGAGCAGCAGAAAAAGGTTTTTTAAAACATCAAAGTGGCCTCATGTAGTTCACTAGATACAAATTCTTTTTGCTGCTAGTCCTGGGGCTTGAACTTTACTTATAGTGCATACTGAAGAAAAATGAAAATATAGACCCAAATTATAAACATAATTGCGGATAATAGGATCACCCTGAAAATCAGAGTGCTAACAATCTAGTTGACTGTCAACTCAGGAATGAATAGAGAAAACAAGACTTATCTCTACAATGAGGACTATGCAGCAACAAAAAGGAACAAACTACCAAATATGTCTTGTAACATGAATGAACCTCACAATCTTCTAAGTGGAAGAATGCAGGCACAGAAGACCACAATGTACTCAGAAATGTCCAGAAAGGAACTCTGAATAGACAGAAAGCACTTTAGTGGCTGCTGGAGGCTAAACTGGGCTGTGGAAATATTCCAAAAGTGAATGATGGATGATGGTTACACAACTATATAAACAGGCTAGAAAATATTGAAGTGGACATTTAACATGGTGAATCTAATGGGATATAAATTATACCTCAATATGAAAGTTTTTTAGATACCTAAAATATGAACATTAGTGGTGATAGATAGCAGCAGTATCCTTCAGAGCCAGACCGGAAGCAATCTAGCTAAATGAATAGACAAAACAAGGCACTTCTTTGTTTTGAATACTATACAGAACCTATTTTAAATTTAGCTTACAAAGGATGCTTTAACTCACAGTGTGATTGTTGAAATTGTCTTGCTATTTCTTTTATTTCCGTTTAGATTTTCAACCTCTCACATCAATTTGTCTATGTTAGAATCCATTTCTGTAATTAGTAGATTTTAAAAACTTGGGGAGGGGAAGAATAGTAGGGGAAAAACGAATGAGGAGTAAAATGCTTGATAGGAAATGTACTCATTACCTTACTCATGTAACTGTAACCCCTCTGTACAGTATCTTTACAATAATTTTTTTAAAAAACTGGCTCAAGTATGAATTGAAGCCCTTCTTTCTGCCTTCTGTAGTTAGTCATATGAAGTCTTCCTAATGCTCACAGAGAGGCACAATACTGTGTATGGGGATGAGGAGTACAAAGGAACTGAAGGCCATGCTAGGCTTTCCAGAAAGTTCCACAATAGAATGACCAAAGCATAAGTTTTTTGGAATAACTAGACATGTTTTCTGGCTCAGATAAAACAACTGAACCCAAAACTAAAGACTTCTTTGCTGATTCAGTCCCTTTCTAGCCAGGCTTATCCAGGTGGTTTGGCTAAATAGACTGACAAGTTCCAGCAAGTTAATTTTCACTAAAATGTTTGCAGAAGGCTGGTACATGACTTTGTCCATCATATTCTTGTGGAGGAGATAGCCTGCCACATTTTTCAGATATAATAGGTATTCAGGTATCTTTATCAGTTCTGGCCCATTGCAGAATTCCGTGGTCATTTGTTATTGTTCAACATACATGGTGTTGATCAATAAATGTCTCCAGTGGTCATTCTTCTATTTCCTCAGCATTAGAACCCCAGAGCATTCACAGGAAGTACACTGACCAACTAGAGACCAGACATCTTCGTCAAGGGATGCTCATGTGCCCAGTGTTCACAATCAGAAGTGAGGTGAGCAACATTGCTTCTTCTTTCCATTTTCTTTCCCCTCCCACGGTACTGGAAGGGGAACCCAGGATGGTACCGTGGGACACAGGGAAGTAATGGGACCTAGGACATTAGATGACCATGAAACTTACCAGGTGATCCAGCCTCTACTTCTATACTGATAGACAGAAGAGACAAAATAAACATTGCCTCATTTCAGCAGCTTTGCCTGTGCCTCAATTAAAATCCTAGCTAAGAGTTCAAAAGACATATCCTAGGTCTCCTGGATAGCCTTTTGGCAAATTACAGAAGTTTTTTGTGCTAGACCATACCACACTACACCACCAAGCCCAGCTAAGTTATTGTACTTCTTAAACTTTTGAGTCTCAGCTTCTGGATGTTAACATTACGAAGCTGAAGAGAATCCTAAATCTTTTTTTGCACAAACATCTGTGACAACTCAGGATAGTGTCCTACCTCACCCTCCCTGAGGACACTCCAGGTAAGGCCATGACCTAAGCTTGTTTCTGTTTGTTCTGCTGGTTCTTCCTTCTGACCAGCTAGGGTGCTATTTCCCATGTGGCTCTCTGAGCCTCCTCTTTCTAGACCAGTGAGTGTAAGACATTTTCTTTTTCTGCACCTCTCCTGTGTCTCCTCTGAAGGTCACCTGAAGGATCATTACATAAAAGAACACAGAACACACTCTGGCTGGCTGAAAACATTTGTGGTATTCCTGTTCACTAAAACCAAAGCAACAAAGAAGGAGTCAATAATGAAATAATAAATTTCCTTCCTGAAATGCATATTAAACAGCAAGTACCCAAATAATGTATCTTCTTTTGTAGAAGCTGCCAGAAACTAAGATGGGTTTTCATGGTATTAGAATTAGTATGTCCACTCAAACACATGTAGACAACTGAGCTAGTAGCTCACTGAAGATAAGGAAAGTCCTTGTATCCATGAGGCCAACCCAGTTACCTTTGGGTTGGTGCCTTCCAGTATCACTTTTTACACTAGGTGTAATTTCCACTAGAAATTAATATGACCAGTTCAGGTAATTTGGAAGAATTTTCAAATGGCTCATTATCATTAAAAAAAAAAAAAAAAACGCAGCTGGGTAGCCTGATTTGGCTTCTGTTTGCAACATGGTTGGAAGTTCTACTTTGTGCTGGGTCTTACCTCGAACAAAGACATAAGCGCTGTATTGCTCATAGTATTCTCCCATTCGAACACGGATGGTATAAAGGCCTTCATCTTCTTTGTTGAGATGAGAAAATGTCAGTGTTGCCCGATCTCCACTCCAATATGTTTGCACCCATTTTGACGGAGAAACAGGTGCCCCTAGAAATAAAAAGGAAGAAAATGAGTGGATTTCCCCTTCTATTACTCTCCTCTTTTGGCCTTCTTTTCATTGGACTCCCTCTTTTTTCCGCCTTTGATATATTGAAAGTTAGAGGAAGTCTCTAGAGCTTTCAAATATTCTGTAATACGTATATTAGTAAACATTCTAAAAAGAAACTAGATATCCCAGGACAGATATATGGTTTTTAGGGCCAACTACAAAATTAAATTGCAAAGCTCTTTGTTCAAAAACTTTAGAAAAGAGGCATTTTCATTTAAAATATTTTATTATTTATAAAACATAACAGGAGTCATATAAGCCATAAAGAATAATATTTTGTTGCTATATGTTTATGTGCAATAAATAATACTAATTTGATATCTGAATTATAAAGTTCTGGCTTATTTTTCTGTAAATTTATTTATTTGGTCATCAAAACTTATATTTTGACCAACTTCATTGTAATTTATCATTTTTAAATTTATTTTATACATGTATTTTATGTTTATATACAACTTCATTTTAAACCAATATAATCAAAAACATTTGTTGTCAGGCACTCTTGTAAATGCAAGTCCATACATGAATTTTAATAAATTTTTTATTTAGAGAAGAATTTTTCTCTCATATAAATAACTATGCCTGGAGTTAAAAGTGTTACATAGCCTATGACAACATTGAATTAGCTTCAATAAACTATTTTAAAATATAAATTTTGGCTCTCTTGAACTAATGATTCTTTAGAGGGTTGTGGATCTTGAACTGGGGCTTGAACTCAGGGCCTGGATGCTGTCCTTTGGCTTTTTCACTCAAGGTTAGTGCTCTGCAACTTGAGCCACAGCTCCACTTCCAGAGTTTTGGTGGTTAATCGAAGGTAAGTGTTACACAGATTTCTCTGCCCATCCTCAGATCTCAGCTTTCTGAGTGACTAGGATTCTAAGTCATGAGCCACTAGCACCAGATAAACTAATGATTCATGATGGGTACAAATTACAAAGGTAATTTGTAGTTACAAATTACAAAATTTGTACACAGATCTGTGTACAGTGCCATATAATCTAAATTTAATTGTAAATGTAAATTTACAGAGTTATACTTCGATGTTTCCTTGGCATGTCCTCTAACTTTTGAAGGTCATGCTAGAAACCAAGAATGATTTGTGATTTGTATATAATTCAAAATGCTTGACTATGTATTTATCATTGTATTTTCAATTAGAAGAAAAAATAATTTATAACTGTCCTCTTTGTGACTAATTAGTTCACCTTCTAGGGAAAAAGGGTAGGAAAGTGCAGCAGTAGAGCTCACTGGACACCAATGAAAGTAAGCTATACAACTTGTGGGTGGAGATGGGGGGAGGGACTGGGAGAGAGTAAGGGAACAGAAGAGATTGTACGAAAGGAAATGTACTCGTTACCTGGCTCATGTAATTGTAACCCCTCTGTACATCATCTCTATAATAACAATAAAGTAAATTTGTAATAATAAAAAAATTGGCTCACTTGAAGTTTCATATAAAAATTGTGGCTTTTCATCAAATACTACAGTGTTTCAATTTAATATTTATTTCTAAATCTCCAACCAGAAATTCCAAACTCTCTGTGAAGAAACCTAATTGCCTATGCAAGGTATTTATAATACACATATATATGCATTGTATATATACAACATATATACACATAGAAATAGATAGAGAGATAGATAGAGAGATAGATAGATAGATAGATAGATAGATAGATAGATAGATAGATAGATAGATAGATAGATGTGCTTTCAATTTGTACTATACTGACGAAGTTTACTGCTTGCAACAGTTACTACACCAATGCCAGGGAAGCTAATACTTGTATGGATCCTACAGGGATGAGTTCTGGGAATAAATGGGCAAGCTGACTTCCCCATGTGGGTCCCCACGCTGCCTCCTTGAAATTCCTATGGCCACAGTCATAGTCCCCACTTAACCACTGCTGCTGCTAGTCGTGATGCTATTACTGCTATTAAGAATTCCAGTCTGGGCCACAGCCATCTCCTTGGAAACCTAGGTGTCCCAGACTTCCCCAGGTGCTCACAAGAAAGCCAAGTCTTCCATTTGGTGAATACACTACCCACTACCCTCCAAGCCTGAGTCCATGTGAGTCTGCACAGCACTTGGCCTGTCTCATCTTTTAGGTGAATGCTCCATCATCACATCAGTGTTACATATTATGCATAAAAGAGAAGTTTAAGGATAAGGTGATGATTATAAAATTCAAGGCCATAACAACAGGGCATAAAACCCAATTTAGCTCATCTTCTAGAGTGGCCCTGTGTGATGGGCATGGCCTGAAAGTTTCAGTACTACGTCTCCTGTTAACTAGTCAGGCAACTTTGGACTCTTGTAATTTTCATGAAGAAAATGGCGTTTGAGCCATCATAAAATTCCTTACAGGGAATAGTTGAAAGCATTCTCACTATTCTGTCTCTCACTTTCTTATATTTCCCCAAAGTTTATTTTATAAAACTATTAAACAAAAAATATATCATGTCACTAATATGCATAGTAGCTAAATACGTCTGGAATTTAAAGTTGTGAAATGGAATCTTTGCTATAAATAAACCTAGTAAGACTTTTAGATAAACAGGACAAGGAAAGTCTCCAGGTTTGTTTGCTGCTCTGACCACAGCCCATCCTGTTGGCCAGGAGCTAAGCAGATAGATAAAAACTCACAAGGAAGATAGAGTCTTTACATTTCAATGTCTTTTTATGCTAACGAAGTAAATTAGAACAAGTACAATTTCCCAAGAGTTTTGTTTGTTTGTTTGGTTGATTGGTTGGTTTTCTGTGTTAGACCTCACTCTTCAAGAGATTAGGGGCAGAGAAAAGATCTTGGTCTTCAGAATGACAACCACCAGGTCTTGGTCTCCTGAAGCCAGAATTCAGCTCTGTGATTTAGGGCAATCCTCATTCTCTCTAGAGTTTTGTTTTCATCCATTATAGAGAATATGTCTGGAGCTAAGATTTGTGACATTATACTAGATATGTATAAATTTGTGAGCCCAGTGTTTCAACTAATCAGTCTGTTTTTGTTCAGTTTAGCTTTGTTCCAGTACCTTTGAACCCAGGGCTTTGCACTCTCAATCATCTTTTTTGCTTGAGGCTAGTGCTTTACCCATTCAGCCATGTGTCCAACCAAGATTTTACTAGTTAATTGGAGGTGAAGTCTCAAAGACTTTTCTGCCCAGGCTGGACTCAAATCAGGATAGGATCCTCGCAATCTCAGCCTCCTGAGCAGCTAGGATTACAGGTATGAACTACTAGGGCTTAGTGTAGGTATATATACATACATACATGTATATATAATACACATATATACATGTATGTATACATATATTTGAATACAAATATATGCTCACATATGAATATGTGTATATAAGTTTCATATACTTTCTATGGTATAAGTAATAAATTTATGAGAAAAGTTAATTTACCAAATATAATTAACCTATGAAGTAAATATTTGTTTGGGGCACTTCTTTCCACATATTATACAGGCATAAGAAAAATCTCATCTTCACAAATATATTTTTAAATGTTGTTATCTTGTTACATATGTAAAAACACACAATTGTCCCCTCTAACTCATAGACATTATGCCAGCTCTGGTGAACAGATCCTCAACCCAGCTCACAAGCTTGTATAAACAAAACCTGTGTGAGAATTCCTCCTAAAGACTTACCATTTCTGTACCACTGGACCTCTGGCTGGAAATGCTTAATTTCAGGAGTGATCACTACCCGGCAGCCCAGACTCATCGTCTCTCCCTCTCTCCCAAAAGACACATCAAACTTATCATCAAAGTGGATGTCAAACTTGGATGCATAACCATAAGGGGTCACAGCAACTGCATACAGCAACAACAACAAAAAAAAACAAATACCAGTCATTGAATTATTTCCCTTATCCAAGAGACACAGTCTTTTTATTTTTTATTTACTTATTTTTTTGGTGATCCTGGGGCTTGAACTCAAGGCCTGGGTACTGTCCCTGAGCTTTTTAGCTCAAGGCTTGTCCTCTGCCACTTGAGTAACAGCTTCACTTCTGGCTTTTTGGAGGTAAGAGTCTCATTAGCTTCCCTGCTTGGGCTGGCTTTGAATCATGATTCTTAGATCTCAGCCTCCTGAATAGCTAGAATTACAAGTGTGAGCCATCAGTGCCTGGCTAGATTTTTTTTAATAGTTGAAAAAAGTCAAAAGCAAAACAATATTTGTGACCTGTGAAAAGTCATAGGAAATTCAAATAGCAAAGTTTATAACTAAACACAGCACACTCATTCCTTTGCTGATTGTTTATGCCCACTTTCATGTTTTAGTGATAGAGCTGAGTACTTGCAACAGAGGCCATCTGGCCCATAAAGCCTAAAATATTGACAGTCTAGTCCTTTACAGAATGTTTGCTAACCCCTGATTTAAAATCAGATTTGGAATTAGGACCACTTTTTATTCATCCTTTCCCTGTGTGTGGTCCTGTCCTGTTTAAACTCCCTAAACTGTCTCCTTAACTACACAGGACAAATGAAATATACCTATTTTGTAGAGTTGAAGGGAACTTTAATGAATCAATGCATATAAAAATGGTTTCGGGGGCTGGAAGGTGGCTCAGTGGTAGAGCGCTTGCTTTGCAATCCTGAGGTCCTGGGTTCGATTCCTCAGCACCACATAAGCAAAAAGAAAAAAGCCAGAAGTGGTGCTGTATCTCAAGTGGTAGAGCACTCGCCTTGAGCTGAAGAGCTTAGGGACAGCGCCCAGGCCCAGAGTTCAGGCCCCGCGACCAGACCCAAAAAAAAAAAATGGTTTCGAACCATGTTTAGGACAACTGATCAATATAGAGTAAATAAGAAAACAAAACCAAGGGCAAGAGCTGTCTATGAAGTTTACCAGCATATCCTGAGAACCTAAGCCAGTACCTAGCATGTAAGTAGGTGGTTAATAACTATTAGTTGAACGTATGAATTCAAGACCTCTGTTTTCTATTGGGAACAACTGCACCTAAGTCAGTGGCTGGTAAGAAGAGAGTCTGTATACGTAAGCAGTAAGAGAAATAAGGTTTAAGCAGGGCTTTCAGAACCTGGCTTGATGGAGAAGAAAGTGATATAGCCATGAAGATGAGAAGGAGATATTCTGATGACTATAAAATGATTATCCAGACCTCTGTTAGGTACCCTGAACTTCAGCACTTCCAATTATTCTATGTCAGTATAAATCAGATGATGAGCAAAGGACACCATGTGGGATGAGCACCTCCCTCACTTCCATCTGTCATCATTTCCCACTTGTAGGCTTGATACCAATGATTATAACCAGGAATATTCAAGTTAGGAACCATTCTATAAAGTCAAGGGATAAGCCATCTACAAACACCGAATGAAACAGCTGAAGACCATCTCGTGAGAGAGGATCTTCATCAACCATTTTCAAAACCACCATTCCTTACTCAATGCATGGAAAGTAAATTTGGACTTCCTTCTCTTTTCAGTCTGACCAGGGTAAGCATATGATTATTTCATAGACAACAAAGATTTTAATTCTAAATATAGAGAAGTTCTGATGCATAAAATGGTTAAGGTTTACAAACTTGCACATTATCACGCTAGGCTATCCTAATAGTTTGTTAATTAATCACATTTTTACTTCAGTTTAAATTATACTTTTTAGTCGGGTGCGGGTGGCTCATGCCTGTAATCCTAGCTACTCAGGAAGCTGAGATCTGAGGATCTCTATTCAAAGCCAGCCTGGACAGGAAAGTCAGTGAGACTCTTATCTCCAATTAACCACTCATAAAAACCGAAAGTAGCACTTGGCTCAAAGTGGTAGAGCACTAGCCTTGAGCAAAAGGAGCTCAAGGACAGTGCCCAGGTTCCAAGTTCAAGCCCCCATGACTGACTGAAATAAATAGCACTTTTAAAGCCAATACAATTATTACTTCATTTTCTATCAAATATCCATTCATTCTCAAATATGCATTTTGTGTCTGGTACCGAGATTCAGATAAGAAAAATTCAGTCTTACCTTCAAGTGGCTCGTGGACAAGTAGAAAAGACTGACAGTTAACAATGGCCCATGTCATAGACATTCAAAAAGGTGCCACGGCCTCTCTAGGAACACTTAACCCCGACTGGATGGGGTATGGGAATGATAAAGGAGGCCAGACACAATTTCTCAAGAAAGCATTGCTGACCTAGATATTTATCTCTGTATGTTTGTATGCATGCATGTGCATGTTTGCTTAAATCTTTACTCTATCCAGTTTTGTATATGACATTTCTTAGTTTAACACAGTAAGATACGAATGCATTAGCTATTTTTAACCCATCACATCTCAGTTTTCATAAAACAAGAACAAGGCAATTTAATACAGAAAGAAAATAGTAACCAAAGAATCTAAAAACAACAATCACTAGCCATAGGTAAGTAGTATGTAGTTTATCTACCCTTATATACACTGTAATGACATATATAATGTCATGACACATATGGTTTGCATTAATTTTAGCACTATAGAAGAACTTACTATGGTGACTTTTAGCAAATACACTGTTAAACTTACAGCTGAGAGGCATGGTGGAAGCGCCAGCATGGAAGCGAGTCTCATCAAACTCTCCCTTATATCCTATTCAAAAAAAAAAAAAAAAAGAGCAATACATGTGAGCTGCTTTGTGATTGGTTATTCTTTTCAAGCAATGGGAAACTTTTCAAAATACACTTTGAGTAAAACCAATATGGCAAACCTACTCTTTACCACAACTGAAGCATAGGCTGAAAGCTCTCCTTTAACATTCATCGCCGATGCCCGGTACTGAGCTGTGTCTTCAAAGTCACATCTGAAAGAATACATGGAAATGAATGGCCATCGTGGGGACAGTCTTTTGTTACCGGCTGTTTTATCCAGGAATTCTTTGCTAACACAGTAGACTCCAATGCAGTGGCTAGTCCATGGCTCTTTGTAACTTTTTTTTTTTTGGCCAGTTGTGGGGCTTGAACTCAGACTGGGCACTGTCCGTGAGCTTTTGCACTCAAGGCTAAAGCCCAACCACTTTGAGCCACGGCTCCACTGCCAGTGTTCTGGTGGTTAATTGGAAATAAAGACTCTTGAAGACTTTTCCTGCCTGGGTTGGCTTTGAACCACAATTCTTAGATCTCAGCCTCCTGAGTAGCTAGGATTATAGGCATGCGTCACGTGCCTGGTCTCTTTGTAACTCTTGATAAGGCTCCTGCCTCTGACTGAGTACTTCTGAGATGTTATATAGTTCAAGTGATCTATTGCACTTTCAAATGAGCTGTAAAATGGGAGAATGCCTGTCATTTACTGTGACCCCGGCCTGGGTTCACTGAAAATATATAACAAAAAAAGTGTCAACATAGGACTAAGTTTATACATTACAGTGAACAATACTATGATAAACTTGTCAAAATTGTTTGGGGAGGAGAAAATGACCAACCATGCACCTCTGTGACAGGTAACATATCTGGAGGCACAGCAGAGGCCTCCCTGTGGCCTCCCTGCTTTCTGTCCGTAGAGGAGAGTTTCAGTCTGGGAACATCAGTAGGACAGGGAAGATAAAGAAGCACCCTGTTATTATAGATTCTCCCGTGTATATCTGAGTCAGATTGGTCTGACCTGTAGTGTTCTAATCTCAAAACAAAAGTAAATATGTTATGCTTAAATTCTTCAAATATTCAGTTTTAGCACACTCTATAGTACAAGATTGGCCATTTGGATGTTCCTCAAAGTTATTATGCAGAAACCAGTCTGTCATATAAAAAATGGAATGATCTCACCGAGAGAAGAGCAGGCGGATTTCAGAGCATGCTATGTTGTGTTTAATCACACTTGTACCCTTGTTCTTGTTTCTCAGGATTTGGTTGCATTTATGACAAAATTTATATCTTGATGTAACTTTACAGACATCAATAAGACTCCAGGATGGTAAATACAATTGCATTTGCACAGCCATTTAATTTTGAAGGCAACTACATGTTCTCTACTGCTTACTGACAGACATGGTGTGACTTTAATCAGTGTCACAGAGTCTGTGTGCTGTGTGAAGCCCAGTGTCATCTGCGCCAACTCCTTTGATATGAGGGGCGAGGGAGAGGGGACAACTCTAAGTTTCTTGAGAATGGAATGCTCCATTAAAAAGAAAAACAAACATTTCAGCTCACCAGGGTGTTATATGAGCTAAAAATGGAGCTTGTTTAATATTTTTATCTACATAACTAAGTTTAGATTTCAAAATAATCTTGAGAGATACTATAAGACTTTGAAGATTTGGAAATTTTGATATGGGTTTGATTTCCACATTTGGCTTTGGAATTTGCTTTACTCTAACACATCCCAGTTCAGTCCCACTTTTTGTATATACAGACTGACAAAGCATATTGTTGTCCATAATTCCTGGTGAGCTGAAGGAAAGAATATTATCCCCAAGTCCAGCCTACTTAGAGTGACACCCACCCCAGTCTCCACAACATTTATGGTGTAAAAGCAAAATAATACAATGGTGATGTTGCTTTGGAACTCCAAAGGAAAACTAACTAGAAATGCCTATTTAGGTGACTTAATTTTCTTCTTGATTGCTAAGAAAAATTCTCAAGTCTATAGAATGATGAAAAAGGATTTAAAAAATTTCTGATCATCTTTAACTAAATTAAAATATCAGATCACTTTGGGAGGTAGTGTGAAGTGGAAGGATTAGTCATGCACATCACCTTGTGGGTGTGCACCCACAGAAGAAATGCATATAAACGTTCCTGTGGAGACCAGGCTGGAAAAAGGGAGAGTGTCTATGAACTGTGCTTCCCTGTGCCACTGTTGGGCAGCACACAGAGACACTGCTGTTCTCTTACTCGTTAATCTCCAGAGTGTGCATTCCATATCGACTTCCAATAATATACTTCCCAGGGTTCGCATGCACATTTATTGGCACTTGATTTTTATACCTATGAGATAACAGAAACAAAATAGATTGAAGGGTATAACTCAAATAATAACTTCACGATTAAATTCACACAATTTTTGTTCTTGCAGGCACACCTGTAAATGGGTCTCTGAGGATAACAGCAGCAACTATCCAATAAGTACAAATTAAATTAGTTTAAATAAACTACACTAGCAATACAATAAAACTTTTAGTGACAGTGCACTCCCTTCTTCCATTAGTCTTCTATGAAAGGTATGAATCTTCTCAATATGGATGTATTTAATTTACTTGGTGTTAATGAAAATCTTACTTATGAATGAGTACATAGGTAATGATTCCTTACTAATTCCTGCTGGAAATCAAGACAGTGATTTCAGAGGATGGTGAAGGGAAGGAGGTGTCTGGGGTACTCATAATGTTTGGTTTCTTTTTTAAAAAAATTGTTAGTGTAAAGGTGATGTACAGAGGGGTTACAGTTATATAAGTCAGGCAATGAGTACATTTCTTTTTGAATAGCATCGCCCTTTCCCTTGCTCTTTCCTAGATTTTCCCTCTCTCCCTCCCTCCCCCAACAGTTGTAAAATTAATTTTCAATGTAATGTCAAGTGAGTATCACTACTGCATTTGTTTACTGTCTGTCTTACCATTTCTATGTTCCCCCTACTCTTCCCAAAACAGATAAACTTACTAACAAGACAAAAGGTACAGAAAACAAAAACAGCAGCAAAGGAGAAAAAACAAAAACAAAAATAACAAAGAAACTCTTGTTTCCATTTCTTGGTGTTCACTTCTATATATACCATTATATATGATCATATACACATAGCTATTGAGGCTTTGTGATCCTCTCCTAAGAATACCTCACTATGTGAATGTCTAGAGTCCTGTATAATTTATCATGACCAACTATATTTTTTGTCTTTTAGCATCTTGATTTGAAGGTTGGTTAATTGAGGGTGTTTAGATATAAAAATGGATCACAATTTTATAATCATATTAATATATGCTTTCAAGGGCACATATATTGTACAACAAAAAAGCTGAAAAAAAGATTTGACTGTAGCTGACATAACAGAAAGTCTTTGTGTTGAGGGTTTTGTTGTTGATTGTTTGTATAGAATGAAAGCAAAACACTCCTCCTGCTAACATTCTTGCATGTTATTGGTAAGAACAATGTCACTGTACTGAAAAACCATCTCATTCAAGTGATTTATTCTGTGTCATAAACAACTGTGCATTTGTATTGGAAGAATTTATATAGTGTGAAACAAAACTTCTGGCTAGGAAAAAATAAAGGACTCCTTCTTCTGACTGCTCCATCCATCTGTGGTTAGGCCTCTCAGCCTTCAGTAAGTGGGTCAAACAGAAGAGCCTCTCCCTGAAACAGATGTCTGGATCTGTAGTGGTCCCCATGTTCTCAATAGCCAGAGTCTATGGTCCAGATTTAACTTACTTAAACCATTTTCTGCCCAAACAAGGAGCTAGGTTTCCTTTGCTTCCCTTTCCAACACCTTACTCCATGTGCATACATAGCACAACTGACCACAAGTGATGGAAAATTCAGAGTGCTTTGTGTATCTATCGTATCGGCAAACTCAATCCTCATAACCACCACGAGAGCTGAAATTTTCTTTAACATTTCTTCTAGATAGAGAGAGGTTAAATGACTTGCTCTGATCACATGGCCAGAAGTAGCTGAGACAGGATTTGAAACCAGGAAGTCTGGCACTTGGTTCACATGTCATTTCCATTTTTCAATCGTTTTCTATCTAGCTGCATTTTATTTCTTCAGATTTTTGAAAATGACTATAAGTAGGTTTGGAAGCAAAGAAAGTGGTGAAAAGGGAGAGGAAGAATATCAGTCTCAGTCTCTCAGTTTCAGTCTTTGTTCCTTTCTTCCCTTCCTCCCCCTGTCCCCCCCCCCCCCCCCACACACACACATCCTATGTTCTCATTGTAGTTTGGAGTTTTTTCCCTACATGGATTCATGGATTGGAACTTGGTCCAAATAGTGGTGGTATTAGGAGGTGCTAGGACCTTTAAGAGGTGCAAGGTTATTGGATCATTGAGTACCAGTCTCAGCAAGTATCAAATATTTCTTTGGGCCCCTGCTTAGTTCCAAGAAAGTGGGTTGTCATAAAAGAGAAAGCCTGGGTCCTCATTACTGCGCTCTGGATTTCTGTGTCACACTATGTGACTTCCTCCTCTTGCATGTATTCCTATTTGCAAAAAATTTGGCAAAGTTACCACTGGGGCTGTCACCAGAGCTGGCACCATGCTATTGGAACTTTCAGCCTCTGAAATTGAGAGCTAACTAAACTTATTTTTTTAAAACAAGTTACCTAGCCGGAAGAATTTTGATACTTCAATGTAACATTAATACAGTTGCTAAAGAACATTGTTTGTTTTCTATAATTTTTTAACGTCTCAATCTCCTTTTCCACCTGAAAAGTACCAACTTATTCTTCAAGATTCAGACCAAATTTTACTTCTTCAATAGGCTTCTCCTTAAAAATCCCACAAAATGTAACCGTTCCCACCTCTAAGTCAGTGGTACTGATTGGTTTAAATTGCTAAGTATAACATTTATCAGAATTATGAGTGGATTTTCATCTCTTCTACTATGTTGACAGCCCCTTGAATGATACATACTGACTTCCATTCATACTCCTGAGGAAGGATGAACCATAGGCAAATATAAGAATGTAGAGCTGGTTAAATTAGGAAGAATAATTGTATAATGTAGTAGATAATTGTAGATTCATAATTTTTCCCACTGGAGGACTGAAGCTCTGATAAACATGCTTCATGATATGAATGATTTTTTTCTATTTATTTTTGTTTTCTTGTGATGCTAGGGATTGAACACAGGGTCATGCATATGCTACCACTGAGCTAAATCATTCAGTCCCTGGATAACTTTAAATGAGGAAGAAAGTAAGTTGAGGCTTACTGAGTCTTGCTTCCCCTCAGATCTGAAAGAAGAGGGTTGTCTTAGCTTGACAATCACAGCTTTATAACAGGTGTTAGCTGTATAACCTTACTACCACCCACAGAAGGTATTGCTGGTTGGTACCATACTGTTTCCTGCCAGCTATATCAACATAGAGGCTCTAAGCAAGCAATACTAGTTGATCAGAGATGGCTACTGGCTGCTACTGGTCTCAAAATTTCCCCATTTTGGTGGATGGCAGAGTAGAACATGTTCATTGCATGCTCTCTGATTAGATTGGCTTAGTTCGTTCATTTCACATTCAGAAGTTTCCTCTTGCTCTAGTTTTTCATCCTGGAGGGTTTTCAGTAGTTCCTCTTAGCACAAGAAGAGTGACATGACATTAAATGTCATGCTGATTGATGAAACATCTACTTTGGCTTTAGGTCAACAATGCTGTTTATATCTCTATAAAGTTAGAGTTAAAAGGGTATTTTGCAGCTCCTATGATTATTTCACTCCCCTCGTCTCCCACGACTACTTGACTTAGCACCTTGATGCTTTCCCCTAATGAAACACCACTGCTAATGTGGCTACCTGGCAAAGGAACCAGATTTAAATAAGATACACATAACACTGGCTGAGAAGCATTTAGTCTCTCCTCTGGAACTCTAGATAATCAGAGGAAGAAATTCTTGCTTAAAGTGCTAGAAAAGAGTCAAATCCAAAAGCAATTTCCTTCTATCCTCCCAGGAATTTTACTTATGAGATGTTCAGGTTTGAGCTCCAATAAGATCAGCTGCCTTAGTGTTAAGACTGGGAAGAAAAGGATTTTTGGCCTGGTTTATATGTACTTCACAGCTTGTTGCTTCTGAGAAGTGAAATTCTACAGTAGTCAGTCATCAACTAATTTTGGAGAGTAATCTACACCTAAGGAATATTTATCAAAGGGTTTTTAAATATTTGTAAATATTCATATGAACACCCTTTCCCCTCCTATTCTCATGTAATTTATGAATTACTAGAGAATAAGTTTTTGGCATACCATGAACATGTCTACCATGAACAATACTGTGCTATCCAGTGACTTTTTAAATTCATTTATGTAAAGCACACATTTAGTCCGCCCATATAAATGTCAGCTTAGCTAGTGGGCTGGCTTTGATAATGAGGTTATAGCAAAACTTCATTGACAGTGTAAAATATGGCCAAAGCAAAAAGGTTTTGTGATCATTTTTTTTCTATCAGTGAATAATGTATGCCCAAATGATCTTCAACATATCGAATCTCACCAGTCATGGGATGGCTGCTTAGAAGTCAACTTAAATTCTGAATAAATAGCTGTGATCCACCTCAAAAACCAATTATTGAGAGAGAGAGATCTATCCCATTAGGTTAGATTTTAGAATCAGATAGATATATGGATAGACAGACAGACAGACAGACAGATAGAAAGATAGAATCCTAAATCCTTATGTTGGAAAATGATAATAATTTATAAATAGTCTTTGCTAGTTCTTTTAAGTATAGCCTGTTTTCTTATGATATTAACATTAGTGACTGTTAAATTTAACTATATGTAAATAGTCCTAATCTTGTAAATATACTCAATGCACATGATCCTATGAGAGAAATAATAAATTTCATAATTTGAAAAATAGATGTCTTTTACAAATTTCCTAAGAAATACTTTTTGTGCTATTTTATTCTTAGGTTTTGAAATTTTTATCATGACAAATTTCTCCAAATGTTTATTGGATAATGGCTTTGAGGTTATAGTAAAGAAGCCCAAACACATCTTGTCTAATATTGTAGGCCAGATCTGAAAACATGATATGGAAGAGGGAGATAATGCCTGTTACTCTCTAACTCTTACATTGCTCCAATGAGTTTTCCTGCTTCTCCTTGAAGGTGACAATAAAGATTTCCATTGAAAATTTGATCCAGGCTTGAGGTCTGAAATCTACTTTAAAGCTGTCATTTATTTATTTGTTTATTTGTTATTTATTTTCTGGTCCTGGGGCTTGAACTAAGAGCGTGGGCACTGTCCTTTAAGCTTTTATGCTCATTGCTAGCACTTTACCACATGAGCAGCAGTTCCACTTTCTGCTTTTGGGTGGGTAACTGGAGATAGGAGTCTCATGAACTTCCCTGTTCAGGTTGGCTTTGAACTACAGTCCTCATATCTTAGCCTCCTGCATAGGTATTACCAGAGCCACCAACATCTCCTTTTTTTAATAGGGAAAAATCCAAATAATTCTGTCTCTTAAAAGAGAATTTTTTTCTTCTCTATTTCATATAATATTTGATTTTTGACTAGGTAATATACTTGAATTACCTAATTACCTAGAAAATATGAAGAAGCAGAAAATGGAAAGGCTATATAGTAATAATCTCCTTCCTGGAATCTATCTCTTTGTATCAATTTCCTCCTTCAAAATCAACTGCTTTTCTTAAGTTCTTACCTATTTTTTAATTATATTAATTTAAAAATAAGTGCTTTTCCTTACCAGTTCAACCAATCTATTATTATACAACAGCCTATTAAATTTGGTTTTTCCACTACATACATCTGCATTAACAAAGCACCCCTCCAGGATGGCTGATTGGTCACTATGGTATTACAACAGCAAACTCTGCAACTCACTTTTCTATTGAACCTAACACATAAACAGGCCTCCTTCTGCTTTTGGAATGAATTGGGCATAGGCCAGTGTTCCACACACACTCTGCTCCTGGCTTGCATGAGTGATTTCTGCTTCAGCCATTCAGCACTCTCTGGATAACCTCTAGGTTCCACTGACTAAATAGATTTAGTCAGTAACCATGGGACTGGCAGAGCCTCACATGCTCCGCTGCATGTTTATATTATTTATTAGACTTCAGGGACACTCATGACCTAATAGTGTCCAGTGGAAACTTGGAGCCCTAACTTTCTTGGCAAGGGGGTTCAGGGAGCCAAGCCCCAAGCATTCATGTCTTTGAAAGATGTGGCTCCGGGATTAACTGCTATGAGTAACAGTGCATAATAGTAGTGTGACTACAGAAAGTTACATCACAAACTTCCACCTTTTATCTTCTTTTTGTTTGAGATGACCAGTATTTCTTTCCTACTTATATTTAGTTTCAGACACAGGAAGCTGCATTTGGGTATCATAAAGGAAGAAATGACAAGAAAGTAACCACTAAGAGCTTGGTTCTTGCTTGGGTTCCCTGTTCTTTGAGGGAAAAGATGCTTACTGAAGAGTGCATGTCCTATACCAGTGTTGCAAAGCGAATCAGAGCCCCAGCTAATGCTCTATAGAAAAGGCTTCCAGATGTGGCTTTATCTGGAAGTGAATGAGACTAGTTTCAGTCCCTTCCCAGAGTGAGTCCCTTACAGATATAAGAGTCAGTCTACTCTGTCCTAATCTTATATTTTTTTGCAGTGTCACCACAGTGTAGAAGTTTCATGCCCTCAAACCTGGATCTAACCCTGTTTACTGCCATTGCTAAATGTCAGTTATAACACTGATGATAAAATTTTAGGCTATTCAAGGACAAATCTTGCTCCCGGCAGATTATTAACTATTTTCTTAGTTGTCCTCTGGTTCTGTTTTAGTATTTGCTTGCTTTGCAAGGTGAGACTTTCTGTGAAGTGCTTGGCCTGTCCTTCTTAAAAGAACTTAGGATAAAAAGGGAATCCCAGTAACTGGAACTTTGCATAAGGCTTGAGGGAATCACCCTCTAAGCACTGAAGTGCTTTTCACCCTTTAATTTTCAAACTCAAGAATCTCAAAAAGATTTTATAGTTCAATATACATATTCAAGATATATTCTATATATTTATTAGTATGTATAATATATATTCTATATATATTAGTCCTGGGCTTGAACTGAGGGGCCTGCACACTGCTTTAAGCTATTTTACTCAAGACTGTTGCTCACTTGAGCCACAGCTCCACTTCTGGCTAGTTTGGGTTGGTTACTTGTACTTTCCTGACCCTGGCTGGCTTTGAATCATGATCCTCAGATCTTGACCTTCAGAGTTGCTAGGATTACAGGTGTGAGCCTCTGGCACCTGGCTGTCCAGTATATTTTAACTAGAGTTAAACTTAACTTTTTGTAACCAATTCTATTCATTTTCATAAAGAAGACCTACCATGTGAGGTGAGGCTCTGGCCAGCCTGCTACAGAACAATGTATTTTTACATTCTCTTTTTCCCAAACTGTGTGTGAACGAGGTTTAATGATAAACTCAGGAGCATGTAGAAGATGGTCTTCATTCAGTTTTCCATGATATGCCTGGGTTTCCTCCAACTGAAAAAGCAAACAGGTTATCAAAATACTACCCAATCAAAGTCATTTGTGGTGCTAAAATAGTATGTAGATGCCAAACTTCTCATTTTTCCATTTGGAAGTTTATTTTTGCATTTAGATAAAATGCATTTCACACCCTGATTTTAAAAACAGAGGTAGTTGAGGATAGGGTCAATGTAGGCTACGATGATGAAAACAGTGACCCTGCTCAAGATACATTGTACACATAGACAGGTTAAAGTGAAACCCCATTGCACAAGTACTTCAAGATTGAAAAAATATATTTTTAAAAACAGATGTTGCTATTTAACACTTACCATTCTAAGATGGAGCAATATTTGTAAGATGGATTTCTTAAGCTTCAGAAAATATTAATTTTTTAAACTGAAATTTCATAGAGTTTAAAAATAAGTTTGCCTTTCTTAGGCTTCCCCATTTGGAGGTCTTTCTCTTCATTTTCTTTAGCTTTGTCTCCCCATAAGACCACATATTTCTTCATTTGAAATAAATTAATCTACATATTCATGCACACATACAATTTGTTACATGCATTTCCACTTTTGAAAGCAGAATTGAATGATCTTTTCTTACTGTTTTTCTCAGTGAGAGCTGTTCTGCCTTTTCTCGCACTGCAACTTTCCTTGACTTCTTTTCAAAAGTTTCTTCTTGTTGAAGGGTGGATGTGGCCTGCTTGGAGACCTTGGACTGCTTGGATGTTGTAGATTGTTTGGAGGTCATAAGTCCTTCCTCACTAGCAAGAAGATTCCTCTGGGCTATGTAAGCAGCAGCTTCTTTAATTCTTTCTTCTTCTGTATCTGTAATTCCACTGACATGCACTTGACTAAAACACAGAAGTAAAATGTGGATGCTGTGAATGGCAGTAATAAAGCTGCCTAATTTGACTAAACTTGAGGTAGCAGACCTCAGACCCAGTGTCCTGTGCCCAAAGAAAAGCTGCTATTAACACACACACACACACACACACACACACACACACACACACACACACACACACACACACACACACACACACCAAAAACCTGGCAACTCAGACGCTGATTCTTTGTGTTAAGGAAATAGTTTTCCTCTGGTAATAATAATGACTGAGGGCTGGGAAGGTGGCTCAGTGGTAGAGCACTTGCCTTGCATGCATGAGGCCCTGGGTTCGATTCCTCAGCACCACATAAACAAAAAAGAAAAAAGCAGGAAGTGGCGCTGCGGCTCAAGTGGTAGAACACTAGCCTTGAGCTGAAGAGCTGAGGGACAGCGCCCAGGCCCGGAGTTCAGGCCCCATGACCAGACCCCACCCCACCCCATCCCCCCCCACCACCAAAAAAATAATAATGACTGAAATAATTCCTACTGTATTTCTGGGATTTTTTTCACAATCATTTTTTTCTTATTTCAGCCACATACCAAAAAAGACCTGTGAATTTTTACTTTGCCTTTCTAAAGAATTATACTATTTGACTTCTCCCTTGAATCTACCATATTTCAGCAAAGTCAAAGTTCAACAAAATAAGCACCAGGAAATGGGTACTTGAAAAGGGTCAAGGGGAGAGGAGGAGGCAAATGAAGAGAAGAAGTGGGAGAGAATACAATCAAGAATTCAGTATATATCATATGAAATTAAGAAAAGTAAGGGAAGGGGAGAGCTGGGAGGGATGATTGAGAATGTTAAAAGGGGTGACATTGATCAAGATGCATTATATTCATAAGCTGTTTTGTTAAATGGCAACTCCTTTGTACAACTACTTAAAGATAACTGAGAAAACATGAGGTAAACAATATCACTTCTATTTTAGATATATGGCAACAAGGCTCACATTAATCACATGCAGTAGAGGATTTCATTGTGACATTTTCACACACATATACAATGTACTGTGACCAGATGCATGTCCTATTTCCCTCTCCCCCTTTCCTTTTCTATACCCCTAATAGTCTTCTTTTACTTTCATTGTACAGTTTTGGAGCTTTCTTTTTACTCCACCTGTATTGACTATACATAGTATTCAGCCACAGACATCCAAGGCTTTATTTCCCATTTCTACTATACATACAAGTAGCATTACATCCTGATCATTCTTTGCCAGTATCCTGTGTAATTTCTGAACAGGAAAGTCCTTTTCACAATGATTATATTCTTACTGTAGGACTCCAAGCTTCCTAAGATCTTTCTCAACTGCTACATAATGAGTTCAATAAATGTTTGCTGCTATCCTCTATTCCTCCCACTTCTATTAATCAAAGGCAGGAAGAAAAAGCACACACACCGTCCAGAGAATATAGGCACCATGTAGTTGCTTGCTAAGTTTTCTTTCTCCTCTCCAGACAGAAGGCTGTGCTTGGCTCTCTTTATTTTAGGGCTCAACTTGGATGAGTAATCTTCCATCAGCAGACTGGTATCTGTAAGTCTGAAAAAAAGACCTCTAACATTACACAACAACCAAAAGTGCATTTAAAATATTAGCAAAAGAAAGATTTAATTTGGGAAAGTTTTTCCAAAGTCTTAGATCCCTAATGTTATTATTACTCCTTATTTTAGAACTAAAGTAGGGTTAGAAAGATCTCAACTGTCTTGGTTTTTTTTTTCCATTTATCTGACTTTGGGAGAGTAAGGGGGGACACAGAAATGGAAGGACAAAGGATGAACAAATGCAGCAGTAGTACTCACTAGACAGGATGTTGAACTATACAACTTACGAGTTGGGAAGATTGGAAAACTGGGAGAGAGCAAAGGAAGGGGGTAAAATTGTTCAAAAAGAAATACACTCACTACCTGATTTATGTAAGTGTAACTCCTCTGTACATCATCTTTATAAAAAAATTCAAAAGAAACCTCTCAGATACATAAATGCCTTCTATATAGACACAAAAAAACAGTAATTTCGTACCTATAGCAATTTAATGTTTTTCCTCCTTAAAGTTTCAAAGGAAAAGTATGATGCTTTCATATTTCCAAATACACTTTGTAGCTAAGTTAGTATTTGAAATGTAGGCAAACTATTACAATTATTTTCATAACATTTTTATGTAGATCTTCTTCCTCCTCCTCCTCTCTCCCTTTTCCTCATTTTCCTCCTTCTCCTTTTTGGTGTCAGTGCTGCTGGAACTTGAACTCAGTTCCTGAGCACTGTCTCTGAGCTTTTTTTTTTTTTTCCTCAAGGTAGTGCTTTCCCACTTGAGCCACAAATCCATTTCTGGCTTTTTTGGTGGTTAATTGGAGATAAGATATGTACTTTCTTTCTTGGACTGGCTTTGAATTATGATCTTCACATCTCAGCCTCTTAAGTAGCTAGGCCTACAGGTGTGAGCCACTAGTACCCAGTTTGCATCCAAATCCTTTTGAAGAATTTTTGGAATGGATACTTTTATGCACAGAGATCCCAGGTGATTCTGATGCATGCCCCAGTTTCCCACTTTAGTATTGACTATAAGCAGACTCCAGCATTTGCAGGAACCCCTGGGCTATCAAACAACAGCATTAAACTATGATATGAATATATGGTGGTGAGTGACTCAGAATTACAGAGATGTGATGAAGAACCCTTCAGTCTGTTTTGTTTATGCACATGGATGTACATGTACACTGGGCGGTAGTATGTGTTCTAACAAACATGTTACTAGGGAATAGAAAAATAAGAGCAGAAATTGGAAAGATTGACAAAATAAAAAACACAGTGTTGATTACATAGCTCTTAGGTTAAATGAAATATATTTTATGCAAACATAAATTTGACATAAACTAGGTAGTATATGGGCTACCTGGAGTCAATGTATATACTTGGGGGCTTAATATACATAGTAATGAAGAATGCTAATAGGAGCCTGTTTGGGAACTTCTTGACCTACATTTGTAAATTTCAAATGTAAAACTGTTCTCTGAACAAAAATTATTATATTTAAAAGCCCCTCATTTGGAAAATGCCTGGAGGGAAGGTGAAATGTGTGAGCGCTATGACATGAGAAAAGTCAAGCTGCAGGTTGAAATAACCCATTCAAATTATTTGGAAAAGCAGACATTGCCTATACAAAAAGCAGAATACAATGGGTAGGAAGCAGAGAATGTGATCAACTGAGTGAAATTGATTGGAATACAATGTAAACATATGAACCTCATCACATAACTAATACAAGAAGGAACAGAGCACATGCAAATCAAAACCCCATTCTCACTCCAGTCAGAATGACCATTATCAAGAAAAGAGATGACAACAATAGCAATGCTGGCAAGGATTCTGGTGAAAGAAGCTTTATACATTGTGGTGGGAATGGAAATTAGTGTAGCCACTATGAAAATCGGTATGGAGTTCATGAAGAAACTAAGAATAGGACTACCATATGATTCAGCCATACCACTCTTGGTATGTATCAAGGAATAGGAGTCAATATACATCAGAGATGCCTGCACACTTATGTCTTTGGCAGCATTATTCATAAGTATGGAATACTTTAGCCAAGTATGAAATCAGTCTAGATGCTTGATTGAATAAAGAAAATGTGATGCCTACATAAAATGGAGTAGCAGTAAAGAACTAAATTGTGCTATTTGTAGGGAAATGGATGGGAGGTGAATCATCACATTAAGCCAGATAAGCCAAGCTCAGAAAGATAAAAAATCAAATTTTCCCTCATATGCAGAATCTAGACCTAAAAAAAAATGACAGGATCATAAAGGGGGAACAGTTTGGAGTTTACATACATGTGATCCCAGCATTTGGCAGGGGGTGGGGTGTGGGGAGTGTGGCGGCGTTGGGATGAAGCAGGATGACCATTAGTTTGTTCCAGTCTGGAGTACATATTAAGTTCAAGGCCAGTCTGCATTCTATGAATTCAAGGTCAGCCTGGGCTAACAGTGAGTTCATAGCCAGCCTGGGATACATAGCCATCGTCTATATTTTGAAACCCTATCTCAAAAACAGATAAGTAAACCAAGAGCTTGGAAATTTTATTTCCTAAATAATACTGTATGATATGTACCATATCTTTTTCAAGCTATACCTTTTTTCAAGAAGTCTTTTCGAGATAAAATGAAATTTAAGTTAACGATAGTGCCATACATCTTTAGCATAAAATTCAACTTCAAAATTAAAAGTCAGCTGCTCTAATTTACCTTTGAGAATGGGAGGGGAGGGGAAAGAAAAGAGTGACAAGGTAAGTATGTTACAAGTATCTTATAAATGAAAATAGCATAATGAGACACACTAAAACTATAAAAAAAAAGGGTGGAGGGTTAAAAGTAATCTAGATGGGGTGAATTTGATCAAAGTACATGTTAGAAATAGCTGGGGGCATTGGGGTGACATGTGGGAATAAGGACACCAACTCAAGAGGAACTCAGTGAGGCAAAGTTTACTTCTGCAGAAGGGTGGGCCATCAGCCAAAAATCTGGCAAGCTAGCACCCTGAGCAGGCAGGCTGCTCCTTTTTTATCCCTAGCCCAGCAGGCCCTGCCCCCTGCTCCCTTTGGTTAAGCTCAGGTTCACAATGTACAAAAGAATGTGGCTTAACTAACAGGATGCAACTAAACTTCAAGGAGCTTTTAACAGGTAGTCTTAAAGTGCTCAGGAAAAGGATGCAGGTACCTAAAATGTAATTAACAAGGGCTAAGTCACCTGGCTAAAGCAGGAACCCTTCAGAAAAACAATTCTTTCAAGATTAACAGAAAGGAAGCAAATTACTTTGATAGAAAAGATGTTTTCCTCACAGTATATCACGTGTGTCTGTAAATGTTACAATGCCACCTATTTATTCATGCTAATAAAATTTTCTAAAGTAAATAAAAGCAAAACACAAGCCAGAAATAAACATAATTCAAAAAGGATAGATAATAATGCAAGAAGACAAGTGGTACAACACAGAACTGTTAAGGGTTTGAAGGATTTCTAGAGGACACAGGGGTTCCAGGCCTGTAGGTACAGGGTGGACTACTGTCTTTTATCTTCTGCCATGGTCACATGGAATGGCAAGCTACTTCTCCTTCTATACCAGTCCGGGGGGGAGCATGAAGCTCATTTTCTATCATCAGCATTAACCGAAAGGTTAGGACCTTGAAGGTAAGCTTGTGGATTGGTTACCAATTGGAAGCCAGAGTGAAATGTGTTCCTGGCTGGCTGTTCTGGACAGCAGCAAAATGTCTATATACCAAGCAGGTCACAAAGTACAGGCTGTGCTTATACAAGTCTAAGTTTAAGGTGCTATTTTCCTTCATCCCTTTATTCCATTACCACGCAAAACAAAACTGTTCATGACTGGAAGTATTTCATTGCTTTCCCATTTGGAGAGCAGCTAAATTTTCCCCTGTCTATTTTTTTGTTTTGTTTTTGCCATATACTTTCTACTTTAATCTGTGTCTACAGTCATATGCTCATAAACTAAATTTTCAAACTAATTGTTTAAACTGATTTCTGGTGACATCAAAATAGTTAGGATTTGTCATTCTTTATGCTGCAATGCTCCTTTTTTCCTTTAACATAAACCAAGATGGTACATTTATTAAACCAAACCTGTTCAGAAGGTTATGATTCCATTTTCAAGCTAAATCAGAGCAGCTGACTTTTAATAGTTAAATTTTCTGCTAAAGATTTATGGCACCACCATTAGCTTCCATTCCATATTTTATCTTGAAAAAGATTTCATAAAATGTATTGTGATGGTATGTATTATGCAATATTATTATAGAATACAAGACATTCATCTTTGCTATTATTTCTAAAATTTCTTTAAACTTCATGTGTGTGTGTTTGTGTGTATGTGTATGTCTGTGTGTATGTTAGGATTACAAGTGTGCATCACCATGCACAAGTAAAGCATTATTTTTATTTTTTAAATTTTTTATTATTTTGTGATATTAGGGATTAACCCAGGCCTCACGCCTGCTAAACAGGCAGTTTACCACTTGAACCATGCTTCCAGTCCCTGTTTACTTGGTTATTTTCAAGGAAGATTCTCACCTTATTCCTAGACCAGCCCTAGCTTTGATCCCCCTAACTAGGGTGACAATCTCCAGCCACTTCATCTTGCCAGTGCTTAAGATGGAATCTTGTGAACTTCTTTTTGCCTGGGCTGACCTAAAACTGCAATCCCCCTACCTCTACCTCCTAAGTAACTAGGCTGGGAAACGATGCCCAGTAACCTTTTGATTTCTAATAAAAGTGTAGATGTCAAAACACCATGTGAATATATGATTTAGTAATTCTGAATTATTTATTGAAGCCAGAAGACAAAACTAAAGTACAGAAACACAAAGCTTTAAAGAGCTGAAAAATCATCAGTAGTCTGTTTTGTCATGCTTTGTGAACACTGAAGTCAAGCATTTTACACTGTCAAATTTTAAAGTTGATATATTTTAAGTGAGTAAATAAGATACATAGATTTAAAATTTCTTTGAACCTAAAAAACTAAGGAAGAATTTA